CTCCAAATCCTAACTTCTTTCTCTTTCCTCACAAAACCCTCTCAAAGCTCTCAAACAGTTCTATGTTGCCGAGGTAATGAGGAAAAAAGGATTTGAATAGCTTCTTAATGGATTAAGATATTTTTAAATAAAATAAAATATAATTAGTGAATAATTAATTAAATTAATTCTTTAATATTAAATTCAAATAAATCATTTTAGAACTCTAAAAATTACAGAAAAATATTCATAAAATAAATCAAAATATTTAAAAAATATCGGTGAAATCAATTTGCAAAACGGACTTCTGAAGGTCTCGAAATCCTCACTTATACCGACAAATACAAATTCCTTAATGATTTTCGCTAGTGTCCAAAAATTACAAAAAAATTCGTGTGAGTAAAATATTTCGATCAAAATATCATGACAAATATGGATTACGATTTGGATTTGTTATGACTCCAGAAAAAATGGGCAATGTCAATATACAAGATATTATAAAAAATACCCCTCAAACTTAAGGGAAAATTCTATAAGATGGTGGTGAGACCTGCAATGCTTTACGGTGCAGAATGTTAGCCATTAAAAGAGAAGCATAATACTAAGTTAAGATGAGGATGCTCAAGTGAATGAGTGGATTTACCCATTTACCCTTAGAGACAGGATACAAAATGAGCATATACTTGAAAAGGTAGGAGTAGCTCCAATGGAAGATAAGATTAGAGATAGTCACCTTAAATGGTTTGGTCACATAAAACGATGGCCTTCCGATGATCCGGTTAGGAAAGTAGAGCTATTAGATTTAACTTATATTAAGAAAGGTATATGTACACCTAAAAAAACTTGGTTAGAAAATATTAGAAAAGATCTTTCTTTATTAGATTTAAATTAGAATTTAACTTTTAACAATACACAATGGAGAAAAAGGAGCCCACCCCACGTAGTGGGACAAAGGCTTGATGTTGTTGTAGTAGTTGGATTACATCAAGGATTAGCTTTAAGTCCATATGTTTTTTTTTAGTCATGGATGCTCTTATTAGACTTTTGCTAGAGGATGTACCATGGTGTATGCTTTTTGTTGATGATATTCTTCTTGTTGATAAGACTAGAGGGGGAGTTGAAGGAAAACTTGAATTATGGAGGTGAACCTTAGTGTCTAAAGATTTTTGTTTGAGTATATCTAAAACTAAATACATGGAGTGTAATTTTAACAGTATTAGATCCAGTGGGAGATTGTGACTTTGGATGATCAAGTCATTAATAAGAGTACATGCTTTAGATGCTTGGGTCTATTGTTCAAAATGATAGTGAAATAAATGAGGATATTATTAGTATAATTCAACTTGGATGGTTGAAGTGGAGGAATGCATCATTATATTGAGTCACTGGTGTACATTATGTACAATAAGAGACTTAGAGATAAGAATTTGAAGAAAAAATGACTAATGGATGATGAAGATCATTTGCTTTGTGAGGGTGTGGCATCTGATGATGAATGGTTTGTAGATGATAAAGTTGAAGTGATGCCGTCTGAATTACAAGATGAATATTTAAATATTAATTTATTTGATGGTTTTAAAGCATTTACATTCACCACAACTCAAGAACAAAACAAAAAGGTATATAAATAATATGATTTTCTTAGACTTTTATTAATGTATTACACTATTATTTATTTTGATATCAAAAATATTTAGGGAAGAGGAAGATAACTGATATTGAGAAAGGACCTGATTGGAAGACATTGGACTCTATAGGAGGAGGAAGGGGAGAGAGCAGTTCATCATAATGATGATTCAAATGGAAGACCCCCTTAGTGATGACAATACTGATGACTTATGAGCTCTTATGTGATATGACATTGCTATTTATGTTTGGAATTATATGTTAATGAAAAGAATAATGTGATTTGGGAAAGATGGAGTTTGAGTTGAACTATATTTCATGTTGTCTTATCATTGGGATATTTTGATTTCACTTCATATCTTCTACATTTTTATATTTTATATATTATTTACTGATTAATATATAAAATATTTATCATTTTATGTTTACGTAATCTTTGGATTTTTAGGCTTACGCCTCAAAATGCCTTGAGGCTTACACCTCGCCTCACGAACGAAAAATACCTCACTACCCAACTATACAATTTTAAACATTGATTTTGCCATAAAATAGCATCATTATATTATAATCTTGGTCATTGCTTGAATATTACCCAATAGTTTTGCCCCTCTTGTGTTGTGAATCATAAGGTACACTTGATAGGGCTAGGATTGACTTTAAATTTACCTCTTAGACAAACATTTATCTTAGCTCTACAAGGTTCCCTTAGATAATGCAACTTATGGTTGCCGATAAGGGTGGTCAGGCTGCGTCAACTATTTTCGCTAAAGTAGGGTCAATGATAACCCGGGACAATAGAATCATGTGATCTTGACCGGGTGTGCCATTATCTCTCATTATCTATTTTAAGCTAATGACTGCAAATTATCCTAGCCTAAAATTAAATGTTGCTACTATACTTTAAACTTTTAGCACGTATCAAGTAGCTTTAATCGAAAGTTCTCTCTTATTAACTTGAGGGATAATTAGGCATAGAGGCTTATTTGTCTGGCAAAATGAGGACAAAATATATGTCTTATATTTTATTTGCAATCTAATTTGTCTTCTAAAATTTAACTTAGAACAAACTTTCTCAAAGACCAGTTGTGAATTTTTTGAGCCCTCAACTATTGCTCTAGCAATGAATGTGGTTTGATCATATATATCTTCAGATAGTTTGACTGTTAATGGACATATATAACATTGCTGTAAATCTCGTCACATTTGGCATAAGGTGATAATAACAGTCAACTTTGATTTTTAGGTTATTCAATATCATCCCGCCTTTGATGTTTCCTCTAACACAACTCACCAGTGGAGTGTCAATGGCTTTGCTCATATTGTCATCCATGACAGCGACAACAGTTAGTGTAAGGAGTTTCTGATTATTTGTCAGATTGAGATTGTGATGGCGATGGAAGAGATCGAGATGATCATGACTGTTGATGGTGTAGGTTTCTTGCAAGTGGGATTGTTGGATTTCAGTACAAGCTTGCTATATTTGTGGGCTCCAGGGAATAGGAAGGTGTGGGTGATGCTTTGGGTGGTAGAAATGAGGTTGTTAGCATTAGGCTGATGTGGAGATGGTTTGACATCATATTTTTTGGGGTTTGCAATTTCGTTTAATCATTAAAGAATATGAAGATGATGTGCTTTCATATGGTGGCTGGGGCGGTGGATGTGTGTATGCTTTGGAATGTTGTGGAGGATGTGATGATGTTTCAACTGTAGTAGACGGAGATTGGAGAGGGGGTGGCAATGAGGAGGAATGGTTTTATTGGTGCAAGAGAGGTTGATTCTCAATTCACCTGGTTATGAAAATGATAGAGGAATGTGGCATGTCTTGAAAGTATAAATAGCAAAAGAAACAAGTAGAAACCGCAGGAATACAAAAATAGGGGCTGATTTTTTATTATTTCTTCAATAAGAAAGAAATATACAAGTGATCACTAGGAACAACTCTTAAGAAAAATACAACAAACATAAATCACGTCATGAAAATAAAAAAACCTAATTACCCTTAAATAAACCATCATATTTGCCTCCCAAATCTAAATTCAAATAAGCCTTGTTTCCATTAATGAAACCTTGCTAATTTCCTCCCAAATCTGTCATCTTTCTCGAAATAAAACTTTCCTAATTCCCTCCCAAATTTGAATTCAAATTAGCCCTCTTTCTTTAAATTAATCTTTCATAAATTTTTCCCCAATCTAAATTCAAACCTACTATCTTTCCCTAAATAAACTTTCTTAATTATTTATCTCATGGTTTGTCCTCCTTACAGATATAAATGGATGCTTTTGTAAGTTAAGGGTGCAAAGGTTGGTGAGGTTACCTTCTAGTACCGATTTGGATATTGTCTATGAGGTAGATGCATTTTTTGTTTTGACTTTTGAAAATAATAAATGCATAGGCATACCAAACATACTTTAATTTTATATTAGAAGGTAAACAAAATAAAAATAAAATCAATAAAAAAATAAAGATATCCCACATAGCCCCTGTGTAATTTTTGATCGTTTTGTTTGTCTTAAACAACTTATCCTTAATAGTTGGCATAAAGCTAATGATGATAATAATTTCCTTCTATCCTGAATAGAGAATCTAATTTTTAACCATTTTTTTGAGTTGAAATAAGTTTTTGATATTTCTAGCTAGTGTTATTAAAAGTGCACTTAAGGAGCAAAGTTTTAACCTAGTGGAGCTACTTGATTTTTTATTGTTCCCCTTTTCACTCACTCTTTCCTTTATTTTGTTCTCAGGAATGCTTATTGGTGTAATCTCTATATGCTTTTCAATGCCTGATCTTTTCTCTCTCTTACATTGTGCTACTTTTATCTCTTGGCCTTTGGTTGCTCTCTCCATCTCAAAAGTTTCATTTCGCTAAGCAATTGAGAACAATGTGCTTTTATGGTGTTTCCGTTTCTAATGTTAGTAAAAATTTGGTCATAATCTCAAGTATTTAGAATGAATAACAAGTGGTCATGGAAAAAGGCTTCTAATTTGACCAATTTGTAAGCTTTGTTTAATGAACATAAGAGGAAAATAACATTACTCTAAAATGTATGTATTTCATGGGCTTTTTATGCTTTAATGCATATAGTAATTTCTTGTGTTACATGCAATAAACAACAAATGTTTTTGAAGTTTCAAAGCGAGTATATTGATATATACGATTTGCTATCTTTTGAGGGTGGATTTGGAGCAATGGTTATGACTGTTTTTTCAGTGGTGTGCCAGTCTCTATACTTTTCTCTACATTTATTTTACTAAAAATCAAATAGTTCTAAGTATTCATAATATATTGAAAATGCATGTATTCAAAATGCTTGCAACGGCGTTATGCCTTCTAATCACTACATTATGTTAAATTTCATATTGCCGACCAGATAGTATTATAAAAACTTGCTTTTCAGCTCACTCCCAGTATGGCAATATACGACACAATGCAAAGCTTGAAAAGCCCAGTTGGAACGAACTGTGTAGGCTACGCTTATAACTTGGCAGGCTTTCTTCTTGCAGCTGGAGAAAAGGTTAGACTGTAAATAGCCATTTTTATGCATCTCTATTTTTTATTGCCTCATTTCTTTTTATAGCTTGAATTAATTGGAAGACTAATTTTTCTTTTCCTTTTATATAATTCAAGGGTAATCGTGTAGCCATGCCTCTTTGTAGAATTGCACTTCAATCCCCAGCTGGAGCAGCCCGGGGCCAGGTTTGTATCTTTGACTAGTTATTGATTGTATTCTGTATGATTGCATGCTTTTCTCTATAAATTTTATCATAAATATTTCTCGTTAATTACTCTACCAGGCTGATGATGTACGTAATGAAGCAAATGAGCTCCTTCGCATTCGAGATTACCTTTTTGGAGAGTTGGCCAAAAAGACAGGACAACCGATTGAGAAGGTATGCAATTATTTCTGGTACCTTGACAATTTTGTATTCCTTTTGCATAACGTTAGATCAAATAAGAATAATATTGGTTTCCGTTCTAGTTGATGCCCTTTTTACCAATGCTTTGAAACCTAGGTGAAGTTGGCTGGTCTGACCAATTGACCTGAGAACTGCGAGCCTGGTCAGTCTGTTTTTTTTTTAAATTTATAATAACACCTAAAACACTTTGAACATGTTAGACTTGGTGATTAAGACGTAAAAAATGAGCTAGTTGGACACATTTTTTATATTTTTTAAATGAATGTAAGAATTAGGATACTCAATCAGCTGTTAGGGGCTGTTTGGCAACAAGCACGATTTAATTTTAGTGGGATTTAGTAAATTCTAAATCCGAATTTAATAAATCATGAGGGTGTTAAATCTTGAAAACCTTTTGCTATGACATATAATAAATCCTGAGTAACTTTTTGGAAACTTAATCCAATATTTAAGGCGGTTAGTTCATTTATAAATTAAATTTAATGTATTTTGAATTTAATTTGAGTGTTTTTTTTTTTTTTTGGATAAAACCCACCGACGGGCTTACGTGTTAATGATAAAAAAAGTAGTACAAAGTTCTTAGAGGGACCTCCAGCTCGCTAATGCTCGAAAGAGCTACAGAAAAAGTGAAAAAGAAACCTAAGAGCCATATATCCCTACTAATCTTAAGATGATCCAAATTGAACAAATAAAATACAGTTTTTTGAGTATTTGCAATGTTCTGAACACAATGACGAAGTCCGTTTGTTGATCCGACATCGTTTGATCAGCCTCGCGCTTTAATTTCGGGTGTCGGTCGTCTCTTTTGACCAATCTCATCCTATTCAATTACGAGGGTCCCCGACCTAGCAGAATTCAGTGTCCTGATCGCAAAGATACCATCCGTTTAGCAGTCGGAGGTGATTTTTTTCTTCAAGTGATATATGGCGCCAAAGTACGCATTGCCTAAATCATCATTTTCGCCCTTTTTGCATGGTTATATTGTTGAGGTCAACAATCTCACTCAGCACTGCCTTCCCAATCATAATCAGGTCCTGCACAAAACGAGAACTAGTCTCCAAAAACCTGCAAAAGAGGCCTGCAAGAACACTAAACAAAAAATTAAAAGCAAAGGTGTTCCAATGAATCAATAAACCGTATTGATTACTCTTAGCTAGAGAGTTCGAATTAGCCACATAAATAAAACCAGTATCCTGTCATACCCACATATTCCACAAAAAGCTAATCCAAGCGTCCAAAAATTCCTGATAGGAGAAGTCAACAAAACATCAATTCCAGCTCATAACAGAAAAGCAATAACCCACTGAAATCATGTGGAAATAAACAGAGGTCACTAATAAACAGCAGTACTGGTTCAAAATGTTAGTAAGCAAGGACCAAAAATACCCCAGCATACAACTACAGCTCATGGCAATAAACAAATCCTGATAGGAGAAGCCCACAAAACAGCAAATCCAGCTCAAAACAGAAAAGTAGTAACCTACGGGAAACAGGTAGAAAAAATCAAAAAAGTAGAATACACTCAATTTAATTTGTGTTAAGTATGAGTTACTTGTTAACTTTAATTTTATTTACCTTTAATAAGCTATAATGATAAATAATATAATTAGGAGCTAGTTTAATTATTACAAATTATCAAATTAGTTACTTTGATGTTAATTATCAAATTATTTATTATATTACTAATTATCTAATTATATTCATAAATCCTAATTAATTTTCTAATTATTTTTTGAAATTAGAAACTATTTAACCCTAATTAATTTGCTAACTATTTTTTGAAATGCATGATAATGTAAATGCAATATTTAACTGAATAATTTAAAACAATTATAAACTAAATATCAGTTTTTATAAAAACCTTGACATTTCAGATGCCTATGCAAATTTATCAGAATTTTACTAAATTTATAGAGATTATATAAAATACTAAATTAACATATTTTATCAAATGTACTGAGGTTTAGAGATGCTACCATTCTCCATAATCATTAAAAATTCATACAGAGTAAACTAACCGATGAAATTTTGCATTCTTATAATCAACTTATCTAGAACTGGAAATATAAAAATATACTAAAAGTTATATTGTGAAATATTTTTCAAACTCAAGAAATACACATTTAAAAGCATATCTTCTTATAAACACTCAGGAATTTGAAATCAAAAATACGGTAAGGGTTGCCTATCTCGAGCCCAACAATTTTCCTAACTAGTTGGACGGACGATTTGTTGGGAATATAAGTAAACACCACACAATGAAACAAACAAGAAAGTAAAAGGACACACAACGATTTAATGTGCAAAAACTTAAAATCGGGAAAAACCCACAGAGTCACACCACAACAAAAAATCCACTTTGAAAATGAGGAGAAATAAGTACCGATCTTTCCTCTCTCGCTCTCTACTTCTCTACACAAATTAGTTACTTAGGAGTTCCTTACTACCAGTTGCTATTTTAATTGTTAGGCAGAACGAGCTTCTTTACATAGGACCACATTATATCATTCCTGTGCATAATTTGTTGTTGTCCATGCAGATTAACAAAGATTTGAGTCGCATGAAAAGATTCAATGCTCAAGAAGCCCTTGAATATGGGATGATTGATCGGATACTAAGACCTGCTCGAATCAAGGCTGATGCGCCTCGGAAGGAACAAGCAGGAGCAGGTTTTGGCTAAACAGATTTTTATATTCTTATTATGCTGTTCTGATAAAATTATACATCGTTCTTTGATTTCCTTCCCTCTTATCATCACAAAGAGATATATTATTTTTAGCTTAATTTTTATAAGATCAGATTGATGGCGGCTTATGAAGAAAAGTTGGGGCAACTGAGCAGCTTCTGATTTGTATCCTGCTATTTTATTATCTGCTGGTATTTATCAAGGATCTATAGCTTATATCTGCCCTCTTTTCTTCAAATATTGATGGTAGACGTTCTTGGAAATCTGAAGGTTCAGACTTAGGTTTCGTTTGGGACGGCTTTCTTACTGCTTCTTAAAGTTATTTTTTATTATAAAATTTTTAATTTTTGTACTAGAAAGTTATTTTAAGAAGTAATAAGAAAGTCGTTCCAAACGAAGCCTTAGTTTTCATTTGGGATGGCTTTCTTTCTGCTTCTTAAAGCAGCTTTAGAGTACAAAAATTTTAATTTTTATACTAAGAAGTTGCTTTAAGAAACAATAAGAAAGTCATCCCAAACGAAGCCTACGACTTTGTTTGGGACTACTTTCTTACTACTACTTAAATTAGCTTTTTAGTAAAAAAATTAAAATTTTTGTATGAAAAAACTGCTTCAAGAAGCAACAAGAAAGCCATCCCTAACTGCCTTTGTGTGTGACTCCAAGATGCATGTCATACGTAGTAAGATATTCTTGTTATAAGATGGGGTAGAGTTTGAAATGTTACCGTTGGGGTGTTAATGAATCAACCTGAGCCAACTATTATCTTATTAGTTGAAGTTCATTCATTTATTTTTTGAGAAATTTACATACATATCACTTTATACCATCTTATTTATATATTTAACACTCAAAATTTTAATATTGTATAAATATCACCTTATATTATTTTAATATTAAATATATCACTCATATTTTCTTCCTACCACTCATATATTTTATTTCTGCCACTCATATTTGATGTGAAAATGAACTATGGGTGGTATGTATATAATATTAAAGTTTTAGATGTTAAAAATGTAAATAGAATAATGTAGGATAGTATGTATGTAAATCTTTCTTATTTTTTTTAAGTAGTGGAATTTGGGCATGATAGCTCTAAAATTTTATTTATTTAATTATTGATTTTAAGCCATAACAGAGCAGGAATTGAGCATAAGAATTTAAATATGTAGCCTTAGATTTTTACAACTATCCATTTAGCAGATGGAGTTATTATATTCATTGGTAATATAAATGATAATTAAAAATTCACTTGGCTATTTTAAATCTCTACTATTCTAATATTTTTAAGGATGGTGAGGGGAGAATTAATGGCTCCATCCATTTAAATTAATGGAAGATTTAACTCTTTTAGTTTAATACTAAGTATAAATATCATAGATCTTTAACAAAATATTTGTGCCTCTCTATAAATGAGCAAAATGTTTTTCTATCATAGATATTTTAAAAATTCAATTAAAATAAGCACTTAAACTAATGATATAGTTTTCATAATTTGTAGTTGGGAGATAAATATTTGATCAGCCAGCCTAAAACATTAAATGTGTAGTAGTAGAGAATAAATCAGGAGGCAGAATAATTTTTACAAGATTTTGCTTTACAAGCTTATGTCTAGGGGTGTCAATTCGGGTCAACGGGTCGAACCCGGAACTGACCCGGCACTGTTCGGGTCAACCCGAGCCCGACCCCTTTTTAAAAACGGGTCAGGTTTCTGGACCCGAACCCGACCCGATTCGGGTCCGGGTCACCCGACCCGACACGAATGACCCGGGATTGACCTAAAAATGCTAATTTTCGGGTCAAAAATCTGGTCAATCTCGGATTTTCGGGTCAAAATCGGGTCAAAAACGGGTCAATCTCGGGTTTTCGGGTCAAAAATGATTTTTCGTGTCACTTTCGGGTCAATTTCGGGTTGGCGGGTCAACCCGAACCCGACCCGATTTTTAAAACGGGTTGATTTCATGAACCCGAACCCGACCCGTTTCGGGTTTGGGTTGACCCGAACCCGGATTTTTCCGGGTCGGGTTCGGGTCGTGTAATTGAGCATAAGAATTTAAATATGTAGCCTTAGATTTTTACAACTATCCATTTAGCAGAATGGAGTTATTATATTCATTGGTAATATAGCGTATAATTAAAAATTCATTTGGCTATTTTAAATCTCAACTATTCAAATATTTTAAAGTATGGTGAGGGTAGAATTAATGGCTCCATCCATTTAAATTAATGGAAGATTTAACTCTTAAAATAAGCACTTAAACTGATGATCTGGTTTTCATAATTTGTAGTTGGGAGATAAATATTTGATCAGCCAGCTTAAAACATTAAATGTGTAGTAGTAGAGAATAAATCAGGAGGCAGAATAATTTTTACAAGATTTTGCTTTACAAGCTTATGTCCATGCCTTGGTAACTAGGATTCTTGTAGCGTTTGTTACTCTTCTTGCTTCATACAGGCAAGAAAGCCCCGATAATTACTTCCTTTAAGGGTAAGCATACACAGAAGAACATCTCATTTAAGCCTTTTTTGGAAAATAACTACGTAAAATATATTAAAAACAAGTAAATAAAAATATAGAGTTATCTTACACATAAATCTTGGTTGCATGAAGAAGTGATAAGGGGAGAGAAGATAACATAAGTGTTATGATTTCATAAGGAGAGATAATAGAAGATGTCTAGTATGGTAAGACTGATAAATGCTTGGGAGATGAAGAAATTTCTCGGCTTACGAAAAAAATTTTAAAATTATTTTGAAGACAAAAGATGCTACATAAGTGGAGGAATGTGTTGATTCCTAATTTTAAGCATAAATGTGATGCATAAGAAAGGAGGATATACATATGATATTTATTGATTTAGAGAAAGCTTATGATAAAGTTCCAAAAGAAGTGGTATGGAGAGTTTAAAAAAAAAAAAAGAGAGATAAGAATGCTTATACTCAACTCACAAATGATATGTATGCAAAAGCTATTACTTGTGTTCAAACACAAGGAGATTGGACCAAGTACTTTCCTATTTCAGATGGATGTTCTTACTAGGCATTTGCAACCTTAGATTTAGTACCATATGTTTTTGCTTTAGTCTTGGATGTTCTTACTAGGCATTTGCAAGAGGATGTACCTTGGTGCATGCCTTTTGTTGATTATATTCTTCTTTTGATAAAACTAGATATGGCTTTGAAGGTAAACATGAATTATGGAGGTCAACCTTAGAGTCTAAAGGTTTTCTTTTAAATATATCTAAATTCAAATACATGGAATGCAATTTTAATAGTAATAGATATAATGGGGGATTATGACCTTGGGTGATCAAGACATTAATAAGAATACACGTTTCAAATATCTCAAGTCTATTTTCCAAAATGATGGTGAAATAGATGAGGATATTATTAGTAGAATTCAAGTTGGATGGTTGAAGTGGAGGAATGCATCGGACCTGTTGTGTGATAGAAAAAATATCTCTTAAACTTAAGGGAAATTCTATAAGATAGTTGTGAGACCTACAATGCTTTGTGGCATAGAATGTTGGCCATTAAAAGAGAAACATACAATTAAGTTATGTATTGCAGACATAAGGATTCTTAGGTGGATGAGTGGATTACTCTTAGAAATGGAATGTGAAATAACCATATATGTGAAAAGGATGGAGTAGCTCAAGTTGTAGATAATATTAGAGAGAGATGCCTTAGATGATTTTGTTGCATAAAACATTGGCCTTCTAATAACCCGATTAGGAGAGTAGATATATTAGATTTGACCTAAGTTAAGAGAGGTAAAGGTTGACCTACAAAGACTTGATTAGAAATATTAGAAATGGCCTTTTTTATTAGATATAAATGAGAATTTGACTCTTAATATGACACAATAGAGAAAGAGGATTCATGTAGCCGATCCCAAGTAGTCAGATAAAGACTTGATTTTATTGTAGTTGTTGTTAATTCCCTTACATTTGATTTAAAGTAACTACAAATATTGAAGTGCATGACAAAATAAATTTAGAGGAATAATTATCTTGTTCCACTATTGTTACCTTGAGATTGTCAAAGAGGCATCTTGACGTTCTTAATTTGATGTTAAGGGCTTTTAGGAACCATCTCCTTCTTAAGGCCATATACTTTTCCTGCCTATTTTTGGTTAATTTATAAAGAATAAAAAATATTATTCCAAGGATATCATTTCTCTAGGAGTTTTTGCAAGCTTTGGAAATTTTTGACCGTTGGATTATGAATTCGTGGTTGAACTTCGATTTTATTGGAATTCCAATATCTTCATATGGATATCCTCTATGGTTGTTGTTTGAGATGTCATAAGTTGAACACATGCTCAGTGGAGTAGTTGTGGATCATCTTAGGCTGTTTGTTTTATTTTGTTGTCTTGTTGAAAGAGTGCTCAAGCCTTAGGCATAATAAAAGAATAGTTTATATAGAGGTAGATCTAAAAAAATTTAACTAGACAATATTCTAAAACAACTTTTACAACTTTTTTAATATTTTCTAAAACAACTTTTATAACTTTTTGTATTAAAAAATAGTATAAACAAACAGTAAGAACATTATTCCGAACAAAACCGTAGTCTTCTCACTCAATTCTCCAGCTCTCATATGCAGAATATCCATTTGCAAACAAATTGAAATCCAAAATATTCAATTCCTTGATGTGCAAAAGAACACCTTATAAAACATCTTGATATTTCTAATTGTCTTGATATTTCTAATTGTTATTATATAGCTAAGAAGCCGTAAAGAAATAACATTGACTTCGAATATCATAAATTCTCTCAAATCGTACAAAAATGATATATATTTGTTTTTTCACAATAAAAATAACTGAAAAATAAATAACTATCTTTAAAATATACTTCTAATAAGACAAAAAAAAAACAGAAATGAGTGCTAAATAACAAATTTGCTTTTCAAAGAGGTAATTTGATTCTTCTTTTTTCATAAAGGCCAACATTGATGGGCAGTCTATAATATTTCCTGAAAATTATTACTTTTATACATTAATCATAGACATCATAATAAAGTTTTATTTGAGACAGTTTTCTTTCTGCTTTTTTAGTATAAATTTTTTTATTTTTATACTAAAAAGTTATTTTAAGAATAAAAAAAAAAACTAGTCTAAACTTTTGCAAGATAAATAAATCAAGAGAAGACTCATAGTTTTGATTTGGGACTAAAGCCAGCACGCTGGACGAGCTCCCTCCGTAGGATCTTGCCTGCAGCAGATTTTGGTATCGCATCAATGAATTCAACCCTCCGAATTTTCTTGTATGGGGCAACCTTTATAAAAGTAGAAAAAATTAGTTTGTGGGTATATAAATAAGATGATTTAGGCTTCTTTTGGGACGGATTTCTAAATATCTCTTAAACTTAAGGGAAATTCTATAAGATAGTTGTGAGACCTACAATGCTTTGTGGCATAGAATGTTGGCCATTAAAAGAGAAGCATACAATTAAGTTATGTATTGCAGAGATAAGGATTCTTAGGTGGATGAGTGGATTACTCTTAGAAATAGAATGTGAAATAACCATATATGTGAAAAGGATGGAGTAGCTCAAGTTGTAGATAATATTAGAGAGAGATGCCTTAGATGGTTTTGTTGCATAAAACATTGGCCTTCTAATAACCCGATTAGGAGAGTAGATATATTAGATTTGACCTAAGTTAAGAGAGGTAAAGGTTGACCTACAAAGACTTGATTAAAAATATTAGAAATGGCCTTTTTTATTAGATATAAATGAAAATTTAACTCTTAATAGGACACAATAGAGAAAAAGGATTCATGTAGCCGATCCCAAATAGTCGGACAAAGATTTGATTTTATTGTAGTTGTTGTTAATTCCCTTGCATTTGATTTAAAGTAACTACAAATATTGAAGTGACATAACTAAATAAATTTAGAGGAATAATTATCTTGTTCCACTATTGTTACCTTGAGATTGTCAAAGAAGCATCTTGACGTTCTTAATTTGATGTTAAGGGCTTTTAGGAACCATCGCCTTCTTAAAGCCATATACTTTTCCTACCTATTTTTGGTTAATTTATAAAGAATAAAAAATATTATTCCAAGGATATAATTTCTTTAGGAGTTTTTGCAAGCTTTGGAAATTTTTGACCGTTGGAATATGAGTTTGTGGTTGAACTTTGATTTTATTGGAATTGTATATTCCAATATCTTTGTATGGATATCCTCTACGGTTTGTTTTATTTTGTTGTCTTGATGAAAGAGTGCTCAAGTTTTAAGGCATAATAAAAGAATAATTCATGTAAAGGTAGACCTAAAAAGACTAAAAGATATTGGATTGTTAGATTTAAATGAGTTTTTTTAACTTTTTTTATTGTTTTATAAAACAATTTTTTAGTACATAAATTTCTAATTCAAAAAAATTGTACTAAAAAATAGTATTAAAAAACAATAAGAAAGCTATCATGAACAAAGCCTTAGACTTCATTTGGGACAACTTTTTTATTGCTTCTTAAAACGGCTTTCTAGTAAAAAATTAAAATCTTTGTATAAGAAAGCAGCTTTAAGAAACAGGAAGAAAGCCGTCACAAACGAAGCCTTAGTCTCCTCAATTCTCCAGCTCTCATATGCAGCATATCCATTTGCAAACAAGTTGAAATCCAACATATTCAATTCCTTGATGTTCAAAAGCAAACATTATAAAACATCTTGATATTTCTAATTGTTATTATATAGTTACAAATTTGCTTTTTGAAGAGGTCATTGGATTCTTATTTTCATAAAGGCGAACACTGATGGGCAGTCTATAATATTTCCTGAAACTTATTACTTATATACATTAATCATAGACATCACCACAATAAATTGCAAGATATATAAACCAAGAGAAGACTTACAGTTTTGATTTGGGAGTACAGCCAGCACGCTGGACGAGCTCCCTCCGTAGGATCTTGCCTGCAGTAGATTTTGGTATCGCGTCAATGAATTCAACCCTCCGAATTTTCTTGTATGGGGCCACCTTTATAAAACAAGAAAAAATTAGTTTGTGGGTCTATAAATAAGAAAACTATTAGGTGCGGAGACCGGATGTAGATATACGTCCGGACATCCACTTAAAATTTGACACGTGGAGTACACTTTGGTTGTACTTTTTTGTGCGCTTTAACTGCACTTTAGTTGCGCTTAGACGGCTATTTTGTTACGCTTTTTTGTGCGCTTTAACTGCACTTTAGTTGCGCTTTAACTGTTCTTTTGTTGTGCTTTTTACTGCACTTTACCTGCACTTTGGTTGCGCTTTTGGTGCGCTTGGCTTAAAGTTCTGCGGACACATTAAATATATAAAGTAAAAAAATAAATCCAACGTGTCCACTCCACGTATCAAATTTTAAGTGGATGACCGGACGTAACTCTAAGGTCCGCACCTAATAATTTTCCCTATAAATAAGATGATTTAAACTTCAAGAACCTATAAGTAATTTATTTTTATAAAATAATAAATTTTAAAAAGTGAAAATATTTGTACGTGTAAGGTACTTGCAGATACCTGCTTTACAACAAAATCCATAACTGCTACTGAGCTAAGAGTACTTCCCGGTTGTCTAACAATAAAAGCCATTGGTATCTCCCCTGCTTCTTCATCTGGGTACCTATCAAGCATACAGAAACCAAGAAAACAAATCAATTACAGTGCAACTGCCATTAAATTCTCTGCTATTCATATATATTATCTCCTTGAGTTTGGTAAAATCAGATGTAGTTTTGAGTAAGTTCAAATTTTTCCATTAAATTATGTTCTAATCATATATATTATAGAAGGATCATGATCATAATTTTAGATTAATTATTCTGTCCTCTTTCACTTGCATAATTCCACAACTGATTATGATCATAGTTTTACACGAGAACATTCAGAGCATGTCCTAGCTGAGCCGAGACAAACAAATTGTAAGTCATCAGTTATTTGAAACTAAGACTTTGTTTGGGACGGCTTTCTTTTTGCTTCTTAACATAACTTTTTACTAGAAAGCTACTTTAAGAAGCAGAAAGAAAGTCATCCTAAATGAAACTTTAGTTGCCTTTCATGAAGAAAGAGGCCCAAAATTCCTACTAGTACTACACTATACAAGGAAAAAGGAACTTTAGCACAGCTTTATAATGCAAACAGTAACGCAAATCATGTAAAACAAAAGAGCACAAATAGAAGTTAATATAGATATATAAGTTAAAAAAAAAAAGTTAACCAACAGTGAATTTTAGTTCAAAGGAAAATGCAAACTATTTCAACACTTACGGAATAACAGCTGCATCAGCAATTTCTGGATGAGAATGAAGTATATGCTCTAACTCTGCAGGAGGAACCTACCAAATAAGGTGTACATTCAGTAACATCTAACGAGAAAAAGGTGGCAGAGGGCAAAATGGAAGGAAAATAATGGTGCCTCCAAAAGTAAAATGTGCACAAATTAAAACAGTAGATCCGTTAAATTTTCAGCACCTGGTAGGCCTTGTACTTTATTAGTTCCTTTAGCCTACCAACAATAAAAAGAAACCCATCTTCATTGAAATAGCATAGGTCTCCAGTCTTCAGCCAGCCTTCCGAGGTCAACATAGATGACGTTGCCTCATCATCACCAATGTAACCTGCCAAGAAAAAGTTGAGACATTCAAGACGTTTTCCTTATTTTTTAGTCCTCCAATAATATTGAAAGAACATGTTAGTATTTGATCCACTTTTATATTAGTTTCAATTTTACATGTTCATTTGTAATTAATTTTGTTTCTTGATTTCTATTTTAGTGAGCTGGTCTAATCTCTTTAGAGGAATAGGCCTATAAATAGGAGGCATCCATTTGTATCCATGAGAGAGGTTTTGAATGGTGTGAAGGTTAAAGAAAAAATTACGTCCAAACCGTGAGTGACCTCTCCATTCATCTCTCTCTCTCTCTTGGATGCAAGGAGAGCAGGAGGCTCTTGGTTTAGGCAACTAGCCGACGGTGGAGGTGTAGCTGCAAGGGGGCCGGTGGAGGTGTAGCTGCAGGGGGCCAGTGGAGGAGAAAAAGGGATTGCAGTCTTGCATTCAAGTCAAGATAGCAAGATTTGGAGGAATTATTTAGTATCATAGCTTGGTCAGAAAGATCAAGAATCCCCTTTTCCTCCAAGAATTTACAATAATTGGTATCAAAGCCTGATGGTGGTGATCGATCTTAAAAATTTTGTCATATCAGATGGCATTACCAAAGTTTTAACTGAAGTTTATGGAGGAAACTAGCCCATTGCTAGGATGATGATATGTGGTGTTGACGAGGAGAAAGAAGATCCTTTGGCTGGAGATACTTCTTGAGTTGAAGGAAGAAAGCATTCATAGACGACGCCATTTAGACAAGACAAGAGGACGAGTTGAAAAAGACGCCCAAAAGTACATTTCAAAGATGCAGAATACATGGCTCATAGTGCAGAATGAGAGTATCCACTATAATTGTAAAATTGTACAAGGTACAAGGAATGCCCACCGACAAAGGCTTATACTTTGCTTGCAATAAAATATGCTAGGTTATAAATTAAGCAAAGATTGAGTTTTACACAAGTGCACGTGTCATTCAAGTAAAAAAGAGGTGAGTTGAATATCGATCCCATGAGGACTTGAACAATACTATAACTACTCTCGTACTGTCAATGTGAACCACACAATTTATCCTACCAACTGAATTAAAAAGAGCTTTCTAAAGTTCCTACTGCAAATGCTGAAATGAAAAGTTCTCTTCATAAAAGTGTTTTGAATCTATGATGGTGAAGAAATTGATATTTGCAAAAGTTGTGCTCTTCTAAAATGTGATGAGAATCAGATCTAATTCACTCCAAGTCTTTATCAAGCATGCAAAAGTTTCAAGTTATGCTTTCACTCAACTATAGTAATTTTTTCTCCTTAGATTCCAAAACCTTAGCCAACATATGTCTATGCATGACTAAGTTTCATTTCAACTCCCCTATTTGTTCCTTTATTCCTCCGTCGATGTAATTAATCACACTTGATTTTAAGTTAGTAAACGGCCTATGCAAGAACTAAAAGAAGAGCGAAAGAACTGAAAACCGCATTTAAATAAGCCGCTAAAACATGAGGTCCTCTTCTAGTTCAATCTCAATTCTCCCTCAATATTCTCATCTTCTTAAACTCTCAATATCCCTTCTACCTCAATTGCCAAAACTACCAACTCAACAGTATCCAACTCTACATCCATTGCCTTCCGCTTCCACCTTTGTCTCTTGGTTTCCTCCTCATATGCAACCAACATACCTCGATCGACTCTAACGTCAATATTGTCTCCCTTAACCACCCCAACACATAAGTTGCTACAAGATCTCCCATTTCTCCAACCTCCATTCATGACCCCACAATCATCATTTTCTCCTGCCTATACAGCTAACACCTCACTCATCTCTAATTTTATCTGCCACAATGACATCACCTCTTACCTGGAAGTGTGGGAGCCCTTTTGTTTCAAATCAACATGGTTTTTTTATAAATGATTAAAGCATAACAAGTTTAATGTTATGTTAATGCATGTTTGATCACTCAACAGCATGGGCACTGAGTTTGATGACCAAGTGCTACTAGTAAACAAACCACTAGAAGGAGATCGATGTTGTCGAGATGAGAAAGAGCCTCCTAAGTTGCTTTTCAAGTTGTATGTCAAGAACATTGGAGACTCTCTCTCTCTCTCTCTCTCATATATATATATATATATATATCCATTCAGAAGAATAGAGTGGCATGTCCGATTATAATTTTTGAATGATTAATATTTAAATGTTAAAATGTAGGTATTTTGATTTTTAAGAATTCTATATTTGTAATGGATGGTAACATATATAGTAGACAAATGAATTTATTTTTTAAAATGAATATTAGTCTAACTTTATCTTCCTAAATCATCCCCCTCTTTCATTCTCCCCTACCCCTCGTGAAGACCTTAGGCATTCAATTTTCACAGCTGCCTAGCGAAAGTAGCTCACATGGCCAGCATCCGCTTCTTGCTGGCATTGAACAACATTTTTTGTATTCATTTAGCTTTTCTAAACCTAACAAGAAAAACGAGAACTTTCAAGCCAATGTGAAACCTTTGACGGAGCGTATCTCAACGCAGGTGGAAATTTGGATTAAGATTAATCTACACAAGGCGGCGATAAGATTGGAGAAAATGGAAAATAGAACAACGCCGTTCAGGCCTTACTAGCATAACTTTTTCTAGAGAGGAGGGAGCGGAAAGCTTAGAAGCCAAAGCTTTTTCTGTATTTATTTTTTTCTTTCCGCCTCAAGGTTATCATGAAACACAGCCGGCGGCGGTTTAAAAGTCATCAACTCGACGGCTGAATGCAGCGCGGTTCGAATCTCCCAGCGTTGGCCTTTAAATATGCTGAATCGGACCGGCGCCGCCCGACCGAATATACAAGTCTTTCAGGTATGAAAAAAAAAACCTATACGACATTGCTAACATAGAACGAGTTGATTGAGTACAAAAAGAACTTACCTTTCATAACGGTCGGCCCACGAAGCCAGAGCTCACCTCGATGGCCTGGAGGCAACGCCTCCCCAGAATCCAGACTTACAATCCTCGCTTCAATATTCGGCGAGATCCGGCCCACCGACCCCAATATGTCGGTCTCTTCCGGGCTCGTCACCCCGCCCGTCGACTCAGTAAGCCCATAACCCTTCAATAGAAAAAACAAAGCAGCAACATTATTCCAAAAGATCCATCTTCCAATTAAAAAAATTATATTGGTCGTTCATTGCAAACACAGCAATGGATATTTAGATAAACTCCTCATTTTTCAAAGTTGGAACCTGGAATATTTGGATAGCGGGGAAGCGAGCGCGGAAGCGTTCCGAAACCTCGCGGCCGAGCGGCGCACCGCCACATGCAAGGGACTCCAGAGATGAGAGATCGCTCCGAGAGGCCTCGTCGGACTTCAACATCGCCACCAGGAGCGGCGGCGAGACAGGCATGTAGTTCACGCGATACTTCTCCACCGCCCGCAGCATCGCAGAGAAATCGAACCGCTCCATAAGCACTGCCGTCTGCCCCAATGCTGCCGTCCGCAGCAGCATGAAGAACCCGAAGACGTGAAACACCGGAACTGTGAAGAGCCCCACCGCCGGCGTCTCCCGCTCAAGAATTCGGGAGTGGAGTACTGCGAGTAGCGCAATGAAGTTGCGGTGAGTGAGGACTACTCCCTTAACCCGCCCCGTCGTCCCGGAGGAGTAAAGGATCGCTGATGTGTCCGATTGCCGGACCTCCGGTAATGGAGGGAGAGGAAAATTTGAGGAGTGAAGGAGTGATTGAAAGCGGGGGGAGTCGATGAAGACGGTGAGGAGGGAGTCGGGAAGATTGGGCGCCGCAGCAGAGATAGCAAAGGCGATCTTTGGGCGAATAAGATGGACCTGGCGGGAGAGCTCGGAACGGGTGCTGAGGGGGTTGGAGGGGCAGGGGACTGCGCCAATGGAGAGGAGAGCGAAGTACAGGACCGGAATCTCGAGGCGGGCAGGTGAGAGGATGACAGCCGCGTCCCCGGGGGAGAGGCGGAGGTGGGAGAGAAGGGATGAGGCAAGGGCTCGAACTTGAGAGAGGAATTCAGGGTAAGTGAGAGAGCTGCCAGAGTCTGAGTCGATGAACGCGGGGTTAGTTGGAAGAGGGATTGGGAGGAGGGAGATAGCGAAGGAAGCAACAGAGAGCGGTAGTGACTCGCAGGGGAGAGTGACGCCTGGGCAGAGGCTGTGGAATGTCTTCGTAGCGATGCAATAGCCGCTTCGGGGGTCGATCTCCGGCGAAGGCGCGGTGGCCATTACTGAACGTGGTAAGCTGTTACACCGCGGGGATTGGAGTTTGGGTTCGAGCTTTGTAGCGCCAGGAAGGGGCGAGTAGGAAAAACGGAGATATATCGAAAAGGATAAAATTTATAAATAATGATAATAATCATTTTATTATTAAAGTAAGTCTGAAAAATAATTAAAAAATAAATAAACCGGCGCTAGCAATTAATTTCTGACCTCGATACGAAATAGTCATAAAGCGAATGATAATAATCATTTTATTATTAAAGCCTTAAAAAAAAAAATTAAAGCACGTCATAGTGCTAGCAATAAATTTCTGACGTGACTTCCAGCTAGATACAAAACAGTGACCGAGCGAATGATAAAAATCTTTTTATTATTAAAGTAAGTCTTAAAAAGAACAAAATAAATAAATAAATAAAGCACATCATAGCGCTAGAAATTAATTTCTTAGGTGCTTCCACCTACAGTAAAACAATGATAGAGCGAATAGAAATAAAATAGAATAAAATAAATAAAAGAAAAGACATATATTACCGATGTCAAAGGCTGACTTTTGTATATAAATTTATTATATAAGTGATATATAAGGTTTTGTTTGCTTATTGTTACCTTTTATAAAAGGTGTTTTTAGAAATATTGGTTAAGGGTTATTTTGGGTTGGATTTCTAACTGCTTCTTAAAGTAGCTTTTTAATACAAAAATTAATTTTTTATACTAAAAAGTTGATTTAAAAAATAGTAAAAAAGTCGTCCCAAAGGAAGTCTAACATAATGGAGTATTCTAATGGAAAATCAAATATCAAAAAGCTTCTTAAAATAGCATAAAAATAAAATTCCCTAAAAAGCATTTCTATAGAAGCTTCATAAACAAACAGCGAGCAAAAAATAATTTCACTATTTCTAAACCGAAAAGGCAAAAAACACTCTCTCAAATGAGGCCTAAGTAAAGAGGAAAAAAATAGCTGTTGACAACAACGTTGTTGAATCTTGAATCCGGTGAATGATGTTGGGTCGTATTTTTGACAATCTATAGAGCTGGAGGGATGGAGATGATAAAATCAGAATACAAGAAAAAAAAAAGGAGACATTGAGAGAAGATGTGGATCAAAATAAATACTTTATTATCTCAATCAGATGTACAAGAATAATTATTGTAAGAGCTCTATATTGTAATGCTTAAGCTAAAGATAAAAAAAAAAAAAACATTATAATGTATCTTTCTCCTCAAATATGAGAGCCAAAAAGACAGATCTATCAAAGAGAGATGTATATCTCGATGCCACTGTTCTTGTCCCTCCCCCTTTTTACATGAATTGGGGGTTATAGTGGATATATTTGGGACACAACAGTGGCATGAATTTGTATCCAACTTCGATGTAGCTCGACCATCTTTATCTGATATAATGGTGATTGTTATAATAGGGTATACAAAGTGGATGAATTTGTGTATTGAGTCAATGTTAGTAGAGAGTCGGGAGGTCAGGTCGGCATATAAGAGGAAGCCGATCTGAGGTCGCCCCGTTGAGGTGAAAGGGGTGAGTAGAGTCTTGATGCATTCCTGAGGTCGATCAGATTCTGAGGGAAGTCTTATGAGAGATATAGATGTTATTAGATTAGTTGCTAATGTATTTTGCATGGGGGACTTGACTTTGACTAGCAGAGATAATGATTTGTGTAACTAAGAGAGGAACTTCTGAGGTCACCCTCGCCGAGGAGGGTGGCTGCCTAGAAGTGATGGTAAAAGTTAATCCATCGTGCTCCAATGTTAAGTTCATTCCTAACTCCTGAGAGAGTCCCTCAAACAGACTATTTCGATAGATGAAAGAGTGCTCCTTCCATTTAACCTGAATGTAACCTAAAACCTGTATAGATAGTCATCAATGTACATTTAGTTCCCCTATTTATTCGACCTTTTGAATGATGGATGTCAAAAAGATCATATATAGAAGAAAAATTAGAAAAAAAAAAGGGCAAGAGTAAGTACAAATTTGCCCTAAATCTTTGCAAATTTTGAGATTCGTGTATCCTTGTAGACTAAACAGTCCTATTATATGGTTTCTCTATAAATACTGGATTCAGGTCTGATTGGTGTTGGCTTTCTCTTCCATTTTGTGAGCCTTGCTTAGTTTTGGAGCGATGGACCTTTTTACTTATCTTGGCATTCGAGCTTCTAGGAAAGCTACTTATAAGAGAACACAAATGACCTTTAGTATGGAGGCCCCAAATATGGAAGAAGCTACACCGAATAAGGTTTTTGTTGAAGGAGAGGTGTGAGTATTTGTGAACTCAATGGATCTCTCTATTGGTTCCTTTTTGAATGGTATGCGAGCTAGTGTCGTGGATCTCATTAACATTGAGGATGATCTGTCATCTAATCATATAACGAGAACTAAGGAGATTATTGTTTCTGTTGTCCTTGCCATGGGAGGTATAACCAACATATGTGAAGGCCCTAACATTGCATCCAAGTCAGGTGCAATTACGAAGGAGAACGTCATTGCTGCTAGAAAATATTGTCAGAGAGGTCACTAAGGAACATACTATTTGAAAGATCGAGGAGGTTGTGAGACCTCAATTAACTAGCTCGAGGAGCGCCAAGAGGGGTGGGGGTGAATTGGTAATTTAAAAAATACTTAACAGAAAAACATATATATATATATATATAGAAAATGATATTAAAACTAATCCAAACAATTTACTTAAAATCGTGTGGAAGCAATTGAGAATTTAAACTAATTTTTTAATACATATATATTTTTTACTTAAGCCACAGCCTATTCTAATTGCAGTTGATAATAAATATTAAACTTTATGCAGTAAATTCAACTTGTAGATAATAAAAAATTAAATCACAAAAAAGTAAATGTGAAAAGGAAAAAGCACACCATATTTTTTTATGGTGCTTCAATCAACATTGACCTACGTCCACTCCAAGGAGTCCTCCGCTCCGGGTATTACACTACTACTAAGTGACTCTATTTTTACCCCCACAGCAAGGCGGAGAAGCCCTTATAAAATCCCTAATGTGATGGAGTATCGAATGCTATGTCATCTTCCTGGTGACGGTAGTGAACCTTCAATCTTTTTTTTCCTCCTAGAGAAGGCAGGGAACCTCGGCTCCTTTTTTTCCCTCCTGGAGAAGATAGAGAACCACAACTCCTTATTCTCCCTTATGGAGAAGGAAAGCAACATAGAGGACTTGACATTGAAGCCTCTCTCCCAAGAGAAACTTTAAGGGTTCACTAAGCCATAAAAGGAATCAAGGTGCAAGCTAGCCTGTAGCAACTATGTGAACCTCTCACACTATTTTTCCTCATGCTCAACCTCACCTTCTTCTTTCTCTCTCACTCAAGAGCTCACCAGAAACCATCTCTGTCAAAGTTCCTTCAATAGCCAAAAGCTCTTTTCAAAAGTACTCTAAGAGATTTCTTAAGTATGAGACTTTAAAAAGCCATAATTTTTTAATTTGGCCATCTTTGTCTGTACATTATGATCCTAATTCATATAGTATGATCAATTAAAAAGTTAGACTTATCTGGTACGATGCAAACAGTCATATGACGTGGTACGATTCAAAAATTAGACTAATCAAACGATATGTTCATATTTTGCAAATATATCGTTTAGTACGATCATGAGGTCATCATGTACGATTATTTAATTTCTCTATATTCACACAAGGTGATTTCTGGGACGATTGAAAATCACTTTTGTCAATCGTCCCGTACTGTTTCCATCGTACATAATAATTTATTGATTTCCAATAGGTCATCCATTACAATGTAAACATCATACATAACTATTAGTTCAAAAATTATGGTTTCATTTGGTATTTTGGTACAATCTTTGGGACGACCAAATTTCGTCTCTATCAATCGTAGGGTACAATAAACATTGTACATTATTTATGACGTGGGCTTCTCTCCAGGTTATCTGCTACCCAAATTTTGGTTTTGGGGCTATTTATATTACTTTGTTGTTGTTAGCTCTTGATTCTCTGCCCTGATGTTGTGTATATTATTCTGATTATATCTTTATCATTATAATATTTTTCTACTATTCTTGTATAGTTCAATCTCATCTTATTTTATAGGTTTATTGATTCTATTTAGTCTTTTGCAAAATTGCATTTTTTTTTTCAGGATGAAGGTGCTAAAAGATTTGTTATGTATCTCCTATTTTTGTGTGTTGGCTCCTAGCCACTCTACTTTTAAAAGGTTTTTTTATTGCTTATACGTAGATGGGATCTTCATTTCATGGGTTTTCTTTTCTTTTTTATGTAGCTCTTTTAATCATTAGCGACCTATTGATCCCTTTTAAGGACTCATAATTTTAATTATAATCAATGTGTAAGCCCGTTAGTAAGTTTTAACCAAAAAAGGAATTTGTTCCCTGTAAAATCTAAAATGAAATCAAAGAAAATAAAAACACCAATATAAATTTCATAAATAAACAAAATAATCAATTAGGGAAAATAAAATGAATAAAAAATAATTTTTTTAAGAATAACTATAAATACAAATGACTGCAACCTTTGTGATGCCTCTCAGTTAGGAAAGCAAGTCAAATCCTCTTTTCGCTCAATTAAAAATATTTCCACTAGCAAATCCTTAGAAGACCTACACATGCATTTCTCTGGATTTGTCAGCACTGCAAGCTTAGGAGGGAAAGCCTTTGGGTATGTGATTGTTGATGATTATTCAAGTTTTACTTCGGTTAGATTCCTATCTTATAAAAGTGAATTATTTGAGGGGTTTAAGTCTTTTTCCACTTGGATTTATAGGAAGCTAGGTTGTGAAATTATGATAATTCATAGTGATCATAGTTAAGAATTTGAGAATGAAAAAATTTGAATCTTTCTACAAGGAGCAAGGGATAGATCATAACTTTTTATCTCCTAGGACCCTTCAGCAAAATGGGGTAGCTGAAAGGAAGAATATGACCCTGGTAGAAGCCGCTAGAGTCATATTAGCTGAATACTCACTTCCAAAATACTTTTGGACAGAAGCGATAAATACATCCTATTATGTTCTGAATAGGGTGAATGTTAGATCCAAACTGAATAAGACATCCTATAAAATTCTAATGAAGGACACCCAACCTCTCTCATGTCTTTGGATGTAAATTATTAGTTCTGAATAATGGAAAGTCTCAACTAGGAAAGTTTGACCCAAATTTTGATGAATGAGTGTTCCTAGGTTACTCAAGTGTTGAGAAATCCTATATAGTCTTTAATAAAAGAAAATTGGTAATTAAAGAGACCTCTCATGTTGTGTTTAATGAATTTGATAATTCTAGAGGGTCTCAGGTAGAAGAAGAGGAGGTTGTAGCCCAAGGATTGGAATCTACAAATCTGGAGGAAAGAATAGAGTCTGAAAACACTTTTCCTAGAGAATGTAGGAAAGGTATTAGAATTAGACATGAACTTAGAAAAGAGATAAATCACTCTGCCTTCATTTCAATGACTGAAACCACCAACCTAAATAAAACTTATCTGATGAATTCTTGATCTTAGCCATGCAAGAAGAACTGAATCAATTTGTAAGAAATAATGTTTGAGAGCTAATCGGAAGACCTAAGGATCAATCAGAGTGTGGTTGAAACAAAATGAGTTTTTAAAAATAAAATGAATGATTCTAGAGTAGCAGTGAGGAATAAGTCAAGATTGGTGGCTAAGAGGTATAATCAAATAGAAGGGATTGATTTTGAACATATTTTTGCCCTTGTAGCTAGATTGGAAGCTATTAGAATGCTACTAGCCTTTGCTTATTTTAAGGGATTCAAATTGTATAAAATAGATATTAAGAGCGTTTTTTTTTTAATGAGATAATAAAAGAAGATGTGTATGTTGAACAACTCCCATACTTTGAAAATTCCCAATTTCTCAATCATGTGTTCAAATTAAAAAAGGCATTATATGAACTTAAACAAGCAAACAGGGTATGGTATGAAAGGTTAATCACATTCATACTAGAAATATCTTTTGTTAAGGGGAGTGTAGACACCACTCTCTTTCTGAAAAAGGTAGGAGATGAATTATTGATTATTCAAATTTATGTTAGTGATATTCTGTTTGGATCTTCTGATAAAAATTTATGTGATGAATTCTCAAGAATAATGAGTAAGGAATTTGAAATGAGTATGATGGAAGAACTGAATTATTTTTTAGGGTTTAACATAACGCAGAAGGATGATGAGACTTTTCTTATTCAATCAAAATACATTAAAGATATCCTTAAGAAATATGAGATAGATAAAGTCAAGCCAATCAATACTCCCATGAGTTCGACTGTTCAATTAGACAAATATTCAAATGGTAAATCTGTTGATCAAAAGAAATACAGAGAGATAATTGGATCACTTCTTCACTTGACTGCTAGCAGATATTATATTATGTTTAGTGTTTATCTTTGTGCTAGATTTCAGACTGATCCAAAATAATCTCACTTGATTGTTGTTAACAGAATCCTTAGGTATCTCTTAGGAACCCCTGACTTAGGAATTTGATATCCTAGGCATAGTACCTCTTTTGAAATCATAGGATATTTTGATTCAGATTTTGCAGGATGCTGAGTTGATAGAAAAAACACTTCTAGAACTTGTCAATTCATAGGATAGTCTTTAGTCTCCTAGTTCAGTAGAAAATACAACTCAGTTACCCTGTCCACTACTAAAGCTGAGTACTCAGTTACCCTAAACCCTAAACTACATAAAAAATTCGACGGGTCATTATTGCACCTATCACACGCAAAACAAACATGATTACGGGTACAATGTGACTCAAAGAATTCAATTTTGAGCACGACGACAAATCGCGGCGACCATAAGTGACTCAAACTATCTTCTCCCGTAATCATGCAAAAAACATGTACATCAATCTCGATCAATGCCTTCAAGGCTACAGACAATCACAATCGACAGAAGACTATGCTTCTGAGCTTAGGGAGGCATCCAAGGGAGATGTGGGCCAAAAATGAGTCAACATGCTTGTCTTCCTATCACTAGAATAAAATATACACTCACTGTACCTTTCAGAATGTTGATTCAAATTTGTCCGTAGATAATACCCAACATTACTAAAAAGAAATATTCAAAGCAAAAATTAGAGAACTAAGTTAGATTTTTCTTAGTATGAAAAATATGTGTGTGTGTGTGTGAAGAGATTACAAATTATAACCCTAAAATTATAAAGTATTTCAAAAATGAGATAACATTCAAAAGATCAAAAATATACTCCTCTACCTTTTATTTATAAAATTTTGAGGGTTATATTGAACTCTGCTCCATAATAATAAAATGGTAAAAAAGTACAATTCTCCCTGTGATTTATTATAAATTATATCTAACATGTGGCTCCGCTAATAGCCATCAAGGTGGCAATAAGAACAATATAAAGATACAATTTTTTAAGATGACCTCTTGATAATAGGCATTCTCTAACGATCTAATCCTAAATGTATTAGCATGTTGTTTCAATACATTCATCTCAACTAGGATACAAGTTCATTATAATCTATGTGCTATCTTTTGTATTATTCATTTGAAGAGATTTGTTAGTATCTTTCCAATGGCAAAGATAATACTTTTGATTAGTAAAATGTGGTCTTAACCGGACAAGACAATCCAAATGAGAACCACCATAGACTCATGGGCAACTCTAAAAAAATGGTTCATCTAAGGATATTCATCCAAGCACCCAGAATCCGAGGAAATATGAGAGAAATCGTATCATAATCATTGCATTGCAAACGTGAACGATATAATGAAATACATTGAAATGGAAACATGGTTCTTGCTAAAAGAGGCCCATCAAGGTGGAAGCCAACGGTCAATCTACCACAATTTGATATCTAATAGGCTAATAGCAAATGTATTCTCATTTTCAGGGCAAATTATTCTGTGCGGAGTCCGAACGTTGTCCAGAAGCAAAAATGAGCCATGTCACTCCAAAAGTGTACCGCGCTCTGTACCGAGCTTGATACCGTGCTCGGTAACAAACGGTACCAGACAGTTCTCACATCCGGTGTCTGCACAGAATAATCTCTCCTTTTTCAGACCTCCAAATGATCAGTTACGCAGGCAAACACATCCAAGAGATGCTTCTCACAAGTCAACACAAATATTAGGCAGTAACTTTTATTTTCCAACCCACTCTGTTCTTCCGCAGCCAACAGACAAGCCTGGCCAGAGGATTATAATTATACAAAACATTAAATTACCCAACTGAATAAGTTTCATGTGTATCACAATTTCTTACATAACAAAGCATTGTATTCTTGTTCTGTAAACCAACGTACAGTAAAAGCAGATTGCAGCATGAAATTTCCACTGGGAAGTTCCCAAATGCAAGGGCAAATCTGCACTTTCAACAAGATAGAGGTCGTTTTTTGAAAGCTAAGAGACTTAGGCTTGGCTTTTTAATTACTTCTTGAAGAAGTTTTTTAGTATAAAAATTCTTATACTAGAAAGCTGCTTCATCAAGCAATAAAAAAGCCGTCCCAAACGAAGCGTTAATGTCTTTTCCCTTTTATCATAAATCAAGGTGGAACAAATCTCCATCTGCAGCATGAAACTTTTTATTCGCCATATTTTGATGTTCATCTGACAGCCTAGAGATGATCAACCGTGCAACATTCTCACTTGCAACAGCACTGGTCTCAATGGTGCTTGCCGCATTCTCGAACGAGTTTATGTAGTACAGATGTTTTCCATCCAGTATGATGGGTGCAAAAACTTCTGGAGCTTCAAAGTGAGGGTAAGCAGGCCAATCTATCCTTACTGTTTCGATCCTCAAGCTGTTGGTATATTAGAAATCAATATATCAATGCTTAAATGTTAATAGCTTGTCGATTAAGAGGTTACCTAAAGATTTCATCAAGAAGACGATCTTGCATTATTTTGCGAGAGAATATCTTGTAAACCATGTCTTCTTTACCATATTTCTTGAGAATGGAAATGCTGGAGAATGGAACCTCAGGAACCTCAACTGTACCAATGAGGTTTGGGATTTCTGACACATGGTTCAAGCCAAAGTATTTCTACAAAGCAGTGTCAAAATCAAGGGAAACCATTATCAAATCATATAATGATCTATAACTCTTCAATTAAAAAATAGTCCAGGACATTTTATTTGACAAATATTGCAAACAATGTTGTCCAAAAAACATATGATAATATTATTAACAAAAGAAATCCATTTTAAAGCAAAAGCTCACTTTATATTTAGGTTCATCCCCTCTGTTTTACTAGAGATGGGGAGAATGATAATCAACTATTTTGACCTTTGTACACTCGTCTATGTCTTCTCAGGTATTCAAGAGGTAGTTAATCGGTTATAACAAGTGAACTCATATCTTGTGGACCTCACAATGAGAACATGCCTATGGATCACAAAGCTCTAACTCAACAAAATAGTCAAAGGAGAGTTGTCTCCCAAAAGAAAAGCCAAGGGTTCACATGAACCATTCAACAAAAAAACATCATCATTGTGGAGGGCTTATACTATTACAAAATGATAATATTTGGGTTGAAGAACATAGGGGAAACTTACCAAATAATAAAAGATCACATCTTCATAGACCAAAAAGGGAAAAATATTGAAGTGTGCATAGATGATCTACTGATGAAGAGTAAGTAAGCAAAGCAGCACAACTAGGACCTAATGAAGATATTCTCCACATCAAATAAATACAATATGTGACCCAACCCACTAAAGTGTACCTTTGGTGTAGGCTTAAGGAAAATTCCTATCTTTCCTCACACTTGGAGGCATCAAAGTCAATCCTAACAAGGTGAAGGTGATTTTTGAGATGTTGTCTCCAAGAATGGTAAAAATAATACAACTCATTGGGTGAGTCATGGGCCTAAATCACTTTATCTCCAAGCTGGAGGAGAGGTACTTTCCATTCTTCAAGGTGATGAAAAATGCTAAGAAATTTGTTTGGAGTGAGACTGAGATCCAGCAACTCAAACTTCTTCTCTCCTTATTGCCCCTACTCCAAAGCACTAGACAAAGCAAGGACTTGCTATTGTATTTAGGATTGGGCAAGGACACAATTACTTCGGTGATCGTTTGAAAAAAAAAAAAAAGCAATGGCTGATCTACTATGTTAGTAAGACCATAAGAGGCGCAGAGCAAAGATATCCAAATCATGGAGAAGCTCGCATGGGCTCTAATGGTCTCATCTTGGCAACTGAGGTCATATTTCCATGCTCATTCAATTCAAATCATCACAAATAACCCAATAAAAGCAATACTTGCCAAGCCTGATCATTTTGGTAGATTACTGAAGTGGTCAGTAAAACTGAGCGAGTTCCAAATTACTTATATACACTGAGGATAGCCATCCTCAAGCATTGTCAAATTTTCTAGCCGACTTCAATATTCCTAGAGACAAATAAGAAGCTTTAGAGATATAAGAATAGTCATGGACTCCATATCTAAATGGAGCCTCAAGAGAGCAAGGTCTAAGGACAAGCATAGTGTTAAAGAGACCAATTGGAAATACAATTACTGAAGCACCAGCATTAAATTCACGATGATAAACTCAAGTGGAGTACGGGCCTTACTCATCGGCCTACGACTCACTAATGGCATAAAAGCAACTCCATATGTGAAGTATTCAAACTCTCAATTAATGGAGAATCAAATAAATGTCGAGTATGAAATGAAAGATGAAATATCACTGAAATATCTTTTCAAAGTAAAAGAAGATATTAGCAAGTTGGCCTAATTCAAAATAATACAAATACTGAGAGAGCATAACCAACTCAACAACCTACTTTCAAAGCAAGGAAATCCAGATATGAAAATAGCAAGGCCAACCATTAAATAAGAGAAGAAATCATGCACGTGGAAGATATTGCATACCATTCCTAGAATATATGAGGCATAGGATAATATGTGCTGAGGTCAATGATAACGACGATTCAAAATAAAGATAGCTAGATGTTAGTGGGGAGCCATTCAGGAGGTTGGCAACTTCACTCAATCTAACATGCGTCAGGAAGAAGAGGGAGATGGTTAAAGGAACTTCTAATACTCTATTATAGAGGACTGTTGTCTCAATTTACAAGCCCAATGCCCACTGCATCAATGTTTGTGCCTTGAACTCGCTTGAAGGATGACTCAACAACTCACACGAGGAGAGGCACACAATGGGCTTGCTAGTGGAGAAAGATGCTCATCTAGCAAACAAAATCCATCATAAAGATTGCAAATAATTGTTCTTAGCTTCACTACCAAAGTTGTCGCGAACTCCATAGAAGCCACCTTCTTTAAGGGCACAACCTCTATTGGACGCACTAGAGGGACTCACCTCAATAGCCTTATAGTCAATAGCACATCCTCAGAAGTAGAGGAGAGCGACACTCTCCTTGGACTTGCCATGTTTCCTCACTAATTGCAGTTTTTGGGGAACCCTCAATCATAGCCTATAGGATCGTAGCCACCTTCGCAACACCCGGTTTTACTTTTAACTTCCTCAAGAGGGTGAGGCAACTAGCTCAGTGGATCCCTGCATAGTTTGAGGGCCCTCTTTAGCATCTTTATATTTGCTAGTTGAAGGATCACTTTCCCTCTTGTTAATTCTCTCTCTCTCTTAGAAAGACAAATTGTCACCTTCCTCACAAGTTTTGTGCTAGACATCACAAGCTCGGCCGGAACCATTTTATCACACTCCCTAGGCACTATGGTTCAACAAAATGTTCAAAGGAGTGAAGATCTTTGGCACAAAACTACTTATATAAGCTGGATGTAAGACTAATTGGCAAAATAATCTATGGAGAGTCGCCTCACACGAGTAACGTTAAGGGTTCACACGGACCACCCAGCTCGTCACTTGCCCACCAGCATGAAGCACCATTGAAGCCACTAGTCGTTATCTTTGATGGAACGTTATCAACCATTCGCATCATTTTAGTTGCAGAAAAGAATCTTTTAAATAGGGTTTCAGGTTGTCCGATCACGTTTAGCCTAACCGTAGATCCTAATAACCCCGCAACTTGAACATTCTCGCCTTCTACATCGAAGCAATATGGGGCTTGAAAAAAAGGCCGCAAACAAGTACAAAGAACTCACCAGTGACAACCCTCTCAGTTCATCCCTCACCAACAAAATCGTCTACTCCCACTCGCCTCTATATATTCGATACTAGGGGATTCACCCTGAGAAAGAAGAGAAAAAATGAAAGATGTAATGGACCATTGAGCTTAACTAGGGTGTGAAATGTGTATAAGGCAGTCTGTACCAGAGATCATTAATTATTGTACTTTATTCTTTTTTATGTAGCATTTTCTGTAAACCTCGGATCGTCATAAACAAAGGGTGAAGACAAACATTTCAAATGTTTTGGCTTTTTCTATAAATACTTGAGCTAGTAAATCATTTTTCACAAAGTTTTCCTTCTTCATCTCTCCATCCTCACATAAGCTCTCAAGTTACACTCCTCAAAGCTTACCTGCTAAAAAGGGCAGGTTTCGTTCATGAACAAATTTGAATCCAACAACCTTTATGCTTAATATATCAAAAAAATAGCAAAGCGGTTATTCAAGTACTAAAAACAATTATGTCAGTCAACATTAAAAAAAAATAGAATAATCGAATCAACTGAGCAAGAAAATGACAAAAGAAGATTCTTACTGGGTTTAAGAAACCCCTCACAAAGGTTGTAAATGTATGCTGTAGCCTCCTGCTAGGAATTGAAAATGGGGGCGTAAAGGTGATGTTTAGTTCGTCCAGAGGAGTGGCAATTACCGTGATTCCACAGTGGTACTGGATTCCTTCTTTGGTGCTAAGCACATAATTATGGCCTTCAGCATACGAAACGGAGGTCACCTCCTCTTTCAGATGTAATGTGACATTAGAATAGTTGATCAAACCAGCAGCAAGTTGCCAATTACCACCATCAACTGACCACATGCCATCATCAGAGCCAGCTAGCGAAACAGCTCCAGCTAGTCCACTAATATTAATATCCTGACCATAATTTATTCTTGTTATTACCTGCACAGAAAAAGATCACCCAAAAAAGTTCATTTTGCATGACATGGAAACGGAAATTAAGAAAAAAAGTCAAGTGTAACTCAAGTCACGAAAAGAAAAAATAATTAAAAGCACTAACTCTACATACTTTTTAGAAGGAAAATATATTGAACTTTTTCATTTGAGAATCAAGAAAATGCTTCATTAAACAAATAATCAAGCAAGAGCATAAAGAAAAGCGGTTATAAGAAACATAATAGCTTCAGGATCAACTGTTTTACTATTAACCTACCAATTCACAATCACGATTTCAATCTTACTAGAAAACAAGACAATGTCAATCACTTCTCCGGCATACAAAATATGAAAAAATCTAGTAATTCAATTAATCTCTGTTTGATAATGATCGATGGCCTCAACATAATGATCATTTTTTTACTCATAATTGCATCCACTATCATTCTTTTGCGGCACGTATAAGCACATTTTTCTACTCCTACCTTAAAAAAAGTGTAATTCAAACTCAAACCCTCTTTAAGAACGCAAACAATAAGCATAAGATCAGAAAATCAATTTTTTCCAACTTCGGGAAAAAAATATCACCAAATGGGGGACATGAAGATCATATGAATCAATGGAAAGGCAGATATTAGGCACATGTTTGTGGAGAAAAGGCGATTTTTTTTATGCCACTTACCGGTAGCATGATTGTCCAGATATATTTTCTTTCTGTGCCTAACCAACAAGTATGAGATGTGGGTTGAATGCATATCTATAATATTTGAACAATTTGAGCTTGCCCAGTTTGCATTCCAATATATATATATTTTTTTTAAGTTTAGAACATTATAATGATATCAATAGTTGCATGAGCTTTGGTAAAGTACCTAGGTCGGCTTTTGCAGGAAGAAACAATGAATGGTTAACAATGGTTGCTGACATCAAGCATACCATACACTCCATTGTAAGTTACGGTATGTTCAACATAAGGTAATGTGGAAATTAAATCGCTTTACCAAAAAAAAAATATATAATCCCAACGCAAAAGGGGGTTTCAACATGCTGGCATAGACATACAAGTACGATACATTATTTGGAACGTAAAACATATTCTGATGAGTTCAATATTTAAATTGCACGATCCTGTGCCTGTCTCCTCTTAAGAGTTTTCAGAAGTTTAAGCGGTAGATAATAAGGAAATCTTCTTATTTTAAGAACAATTTGTTAATGTAAAACACATTCTTTGGTATATAAAGCTCCCTAAAAGTACTATTTCAAAGAGAATATTGAACAATAGCCAGAGAATTGTAATCGGTTTTGCCTTTTTTTATTGGAAAATTCACCTTCTTTCACTGATCTTTTTTAAATATTCTGAGTTGAGACTTGCAAATTGGTAATCGTCAAGGAAAATAAAACTGTAGGTTAAGAATAAGCAATAGTTTCAAGGATGTGCTGGAGTAGGCAGCCACATTTCTAATGAGTTGTGGCTCCAATTACTGAAATTTGATTTATTTATTTGTATTTCCTCGGTAATTGGCATCTATTATGTACAAAAAAATAGATCAACTGCGTCCACCCGTAGTTAAGTCATATGAGTGTTCTGCATATTGGATCTTGATTTGCATATATTATAAAGAATACCCTAAAACTCAAATTCAAGTTTCAACTTTTTGTTCCAATTTCAGGCATGCCATAAAATCAGAAAAGTTTATTTTCCATCAAACATTTGATCTTGGTGCATCATTCATGAAATTTAGTAACAGAGCCTTAGGCATATTGACAGCCACTTAATGCAAGAAAAATAAAAACAAGTTGATCAAGAGATGAACTCTTGTTAATAAAGCAACCTAGTCTGTCACTGCTACACTAATTGTACATAGGTTCTAATTGTTGCCAACTATTTTATCCTTTTTTTAGAAATTAAATGTGATGAGCAAGGAACTGAGAAAGAAAGAATTTGGAGTTGAAGTTAATGATATATGATACTTTTATGCATTTTCTATATTTAATATTTTTTTACTCATGTAACATTTGTATTTCAATTATATTTCATGACATTTATCACTAGCTACTTTACTACTTGTGCAATTTTTCTGTTTCATATGTATGTCAATTTGTTACTTCATAGTTCAATAGAAAAATAATATGTCATCTTTTAACATATTATTTAATATTATATAAAAAATCACTTTTAAACTTTATTTGCAATTTTCACAATTTTTTTTATTTTAAGGCTCACAGCTCAAAACACCTTGAGGCTTACGCCTCGCCTCACGAATAAAAAACGCCTCAATACCCAATTGCATAATTTTAAACATTGAGTGCGGGAAAAATAATATGTGGCACTTGTTCATGAGATCCTTTATATCTTGCAAATGGATTAGTTTGAAAGTATTTGCTGACAAATTTTATTATTGCAATAATCATATAATTATGTTGTGGACAAAATTAATTAATGTTCGACTGATTTGCACTTTATATTTTTATAATCAAATCTAGAGAGTTAACAACATACCATCTCGAAAGATAGACTGATGCTTCACTATAGATTTAAAGATAGAAATAGAATTCACTTTCATAATCAAACTCAACATAAGAAAAGTAATATTCATCTTGCATGACATTCATTTATCATTTTGAAAATAAAATTAACAATGAAAAAAACTTTAATATACGCTCAAAGATTTTTCTCCTTTTTTAGTGAACTAGAGCAAGATTTTATTTTTTATTGGGTTCTAAGATACCTAAAGAGACGAGCATTTATAGTTAATTACATAATAAGATAAGTCTTAAGAAAACTTACGATTAAAATAGTGAATATACTTCTTTAGATTTATATAGGAGTTTAAATCAAGGGTTTAAGTTCTCAACCTACTAATTGGGAAAGATTCAAAATTTGAACGATTCTTTACGAGTCAATGGAAGAAGGATAGAGTGCTTGAGATTCAAGGATAACCCAGAAACACTCCAACCAATACTAGTTTTTACTTTACTAATTGATGCGGACAACTAGATAGAAAAAAGCCACAAGGGGAGAACACCAGAACTAATAAAACATAATATCTATTAATTCCATTAAATTACTTGTAAGGGTACATATATTCCAAGTTCTTATCATAATTTTAGTTTCATAGACTAGATTCTTTGCTCACATTCGTCCATGATGTGGGAACTCTTGCCTATTTAACACTGCACCCAACCTTCGGTGCAACAGCCCTTGCACATTTGTCGTTGTATTCAAGCCATACAGCGTGTCGCTTCAAGAGAACGCCCTAACATTAACACAATGTATTAAATGATTCATGTAATAATTATTCGACAAGTTTTACACTAGCTATCAACTACCTAACGCAACTCTCCATTTTTCTCATCCAAAACTTGGGATCTGACATTGGCAGTGTTAAATACAATTATAATATCTTATAAAACTTTTCCCCATATAATTAAGTAGAAATATAAATAAAATTCTCTCGACTATGGTCTTCAACTTACTCTTGGTGTGGGCCTATTATGCTTAGTTACAATTTTTCTAAAATAAGCCATGGTGGTTAAATCCTTTCTTTCACCTCGTGTTTTTGTTGCTCTTGGAGCTACTCCAATACATGATTAAAATTTAGAAATTATTATGTTAAATTTTAATAATTTAAATTTCTACTTTTAAGTCTTTTTTCCTCCATACAAGAATATTTTATTTATTAATATTGTATTGCTTTATTTTGCTTTTGACTTATTTGGATGGTATATGGGACATCACTCCTTGATTGGAGTTGATATTGGAGTACCCTGACACACCTTTTATTCTTAGAATTTTTTGTCTATTTTTTAGTTTCTATTCTCAGAACATGGCGTAATACTTTAAATAGCTTCTTTGATGAAGGGAAATCAGTTTTTGATGTTTGAGAAAAATGTTGAGATTGATATGCTCTACTGCTAGAAAAATTCTGGATAAAGTCTCTTTCTTTATTGGTCTGAATTGTAATTTCTTCATGTTTTGAGATCCTTGGTGTAATGACAAAGTTCTTGCGGAGTTGTTCTACCCTCCTCACAACTCCTCTCATTTGGTTAGGGACTATATTCATGATAATGTGTGGACTCTTCCATCTAACTTTCCGGCTCATATTTCCACATTGGTTCCTAATATTCCTATTCTGGAGCAACCGGATGTTACCTGGGATGGCTCCAAGCAACCGACCTTCAAAGCTTTCACTTCTCAATTCTATACTTGGTTTGAACAAGTGCCTTGGTCCAAATTTGTGGCACAAAAAGCATTCTTTGAGATTTTCTGTCTATGCTTGGATGGCAATATTGGGGAGACTTAAAACTTCGGACTTACTTATTAAAAGGAACATCAACGCTAAATCGGATTGCATCTTTTGTCAATTGATGCCCGAGTCTCATAATCATCTTCTATTTGAATGTGATTTCTCCTTTATGGTGATTTCTTCTCTATTACCCCCAAAGGCTGATTTCCTTTTTAGGCCTAATTTAATGCAAGTTTTTGATTTTCTGGACAATTCCCTTTCCTTGCAAGCTTGGGAAAAAAATTTCTGTTTTTTGGTGTTATGCTGCTCTGTCTACTTCATTTGGAGAGAAAGGAATAATAAAAAATTTTCTGGTAAATGAGAAAGTCCTTATCAGGTTATCTCAATCATCAAACATGCTATTAGACTTAAGATTAAAAGATGGAAGTATTTTGATCATATTCATGCCAGATTCCCTCATTTATTCTGATTTTTCTGCCCCTTGGTTAGCCCAGTTTCAGATATATGTTCTGCTTATTGGTTGGTTTTTCTGGATGATCTCAATGCTTATTTTGATATTTTTGGCTGTCTTGGTTGTTTTTCGTGGAGAATGGAACCTGGGTTCTGGTTTTTGTTGCCTTATGGGGGAAGTTTATTACGGTTTATCCTATGTCATATTGCTGGTTGGAATCTCTATAGCCAAGCCTAATTCCCATGGAAGGCCTCTTGTTTCAGCATTAGCTGGTTTTGTTTATGAGCAACCTGGAATCTGTTGGCTTGTTTTGACTTGGAAGCTATCATTCGAAAGACTATGGCTGAAAAAATTTTTATTCCTTCGGCTTGGTCACTGGTTCCAGTCTTGGAAGCTGCTTCAGTTTTTGCTTGTCTTGGGCGAAATTTCTTATATGTTATTCAGAACTTTGCTACCTCGTACTATTTCCTGGGAGTTTTTGGATGGACGATGATGAATGCTGTATTTCAGCTGCCCCTAGGACGGTCTTTTTGGAAACCAGGGGCTTTCCTCTTGTTTAGTCCCTCACGTGCACTTTGACCCGGATCGTGCTTTTCAACTTGAGCAAACTGAGTCCTTCTTGGCATTTCCGCCAATTTCGTTAGTTTTGCCTTGTTGGTTTTTGTTTCCTTTAGAGTCCTTGATCTCTCTTTTGTTGTTTGAGATTATGGGCTATAATTTTTCTGCTTTACTTGTAATTTTTTTAATCAAAGATATGGGCTTTGTTTCAAAATTTCCCAAAAAAAAAATCTATAACGCTTCATCCTAGGTTGCCAACCCCACTTGATTGTGTTCTTGGTGGCAGACTTCTTTGAATTCTTTTTAATGGAAGACTTGTTTCTCTCTCTCTCACACAACATTTCCTTCATTAAAGCAATTATTTAAAGTATCTCTCTCACAACCTTTTCTCAGAACCTGGCCTAATACATTAAATAGTTTCTCAGACGTGTCTATCTCTGTCACAACCTTTCCTACTCGTTGCTCAACTTCCCAAGCATTATTCTACAATTTTTACCCATCCCCTAAAACAGGGAAAAAAATTAACTATGCCTATTGAAAGTAGCCAGCCAAAATTAGGCATCTTTAACATAGTTTGGCTCTCCTCCTTCCACCACCCTCCAACCTCTTTGAATTCCAATTAATAACTCCAAACCAGAGCTCCACACACCCACTAAGCTTTCCAAGTCTCTCCACCCCTCAAAGACATCATTAGACCCAAGTCCCAAACAAAAATTGCAATACTAGCCAAAACCAGTCGAACCAAGACAACTTAACCAAATCTTGACTAGCCACCGCTAAACATTCCTAAAGTAGTTGGATCCCCGCCAAAACCCCAGTTACATCCACCAACTTCCCTTACAACTTTCAATTGTCCATAGTATAAAACAATATTTTATTATATAATCTTTAACAACCCTAGACAGCTTTAAAAAATCTTAGGAATCAATAAAATATTACCACATTGATGAATTCTTTTATACAAAATAAAATTTAAAGCTTCTAAGAATATAAAAATTCAGATTTACCAATAAAGCAAGTAAAGTGACCCAAAAAGCAAATAAGATATGAAGATTTTTCTTCCTTAACTAGTATGACTCATCCACCATTCAAAGACCTTAAATTAAGCTTTTTAATTATTCTCCCAAGATTGTCAATTATTCAAAGTCACTGACAAATTCAGCATAGTAATGAAATTCATATGCAATTCATGAAATCCCTACCGTCACAAGCTCAGATAACAGGAGGGAAGACACCCCAGCATCCAGTAACTCTTCCTTGAGGGTCCGGCGGGTAATCCCGTACAATCCAGACCACTTAAGCATCTCATCCACAGTATCAAAAACAGGGCGGGACTCAAAGCCTTCGTAGTACAGCAAGAAACTCTCGAGCATCTTATTCACAAAGCGGTTCATTCGAAGTAGGGACAAACCATAGCGGCGGAAAATGATTATGGCATTGATGAACGAACAGATTTTCCGATAGATGGCCGAACTGGAGGCCGGCGGAGGCGGGTTGGTCTTGAACAGAAAGCTGGAGCCGTCCCAGATACCAAACCAAGACGACGAGGCAGAGGAATCGGACGCGTTGGAATCGGGTTTGAACTCAGAGGACTTTAACTTGGGTCGGAGGCCGAGGAGGGACGCGAAGCGGACTGCGTGGAAGTTTTTGGGGTGTAAGATGGAGGCGCCAGCCTCAAAGGTATCTCCAGAGATCGTGACAACGGCTGTCCGCCCACCGACGATACTTCGGCGTTCGAAGAGATGGATTTCACTGAGGCAGGGGGAGTTGTCTGAGCTACAGCTGTACTGTTTGAGGAAATACGCAAACGAGGCGCCGCCAATTCCAGCGCCAATGACGCAGACCTGAGTGGAAGCGTCGACAGAAGGATCCACCGCGGCGAAAAACAGCGGCATAAAAAGGAAGAGCAGCGGCCGGCCGGCATCGAAGCGAGCCATGGGCGAGTTTTAGCCACCTGAGAAATTAAAGAGCGGATAGAAAACTAAATACCCAAAAAGCCTCTCTTTTTTTTTAGATTGCAAATTGCATTTAAATAAAAAGCTATTACAAACTACTAAATGAAAAGATAAAAATCACATTTCTTTTTTAACAATTTAAACAAAAAACGAAGGAATATTAATCATAATAAAACTATCAAAAACAAAGTTACTACATAAAACAAAAGCCACATATAAATAAGCCACTTTATTACAATTTTTAGATGTAATGAAAAATAATATTATTGAAATCATTCAAAAAGAAAACTCCTTATTCCAAAAACAACATTGTTGCCATTTAGAAATCTTCATTGAATCTTGAAGCCATTTGATGACATTGATGTTATCTCCTTCAATAATTACACCATTGTATTGAAACATTCAACTTTGAATGTGTTCTCTAATCAATAAAATAGCTTTCAACCCCAGTTGATATGCATCTCAATGATAGATATGTTTACCAAAAGCACGAATAAAACGTCCCTTATGTCTCGAATTACACAGAGAGACAACACCACTAGGAAGGTGATTGGCTCACATATAATTGACAATTCTAAAAATTTTATAATTGAAAATGTCTTATTAATTGATGGTTTGAAGCATAATTTACTTATTAGTTGATAGTTTGAAACATAATTTACTCAGTATTAGCCAATTATGCAATAAGGGTTTTAATATAAAATTCTTATATGCAAAATGCATGATTAGCTTAAATGGTAAACTAGTCTTAGAAGGGAAAAGAATAAACAACGTTTTTATGCTTAACTTAAATTGCATTGAATATTCAAATTCCCTATGCTTGAAAAATCATAATTGACGAATCCTGATTATGACATAAGAGACTATATCATGCAATCATGAAAATCTGTAGAAATATTACCCAAAAAGATCTAGTTATAGTCATCCTAAAAAACTGATTTTAGGAGACCCATCTGAAGGTGTTAGAACTAGCCATAAACTTAGAAAGGAGGTTAATCATTCTACATTTATTTCCATGATACAACCCACCAACACAGATCAAACCCTAACCGATGAATTCTAGATCTTGGTAATATAATAAGAGCTAGTCATTATGGTTGAATGAAGTTTTTGCTTTTCTTGTGTTTCAAATTGCTGTGGAAATTGTGCTTTAATCCCATTTGCTCGTTTTCTTGGCACTGTTCATCTATATGTTAATTATTAATATCTTAAATACATCAATCTAACAGTTTTGTCTACTAATATATTAAGAATATTAATGAAATAATGAGAGAAAAATCATAATTTTTTATTAATAACTAAGATCAATGAATTACATTACAAATAAATTCTCACCAAAATTAACTATACAGTGAAAAATTTGTGGTTATTATAAAACTATGAATGATATTATATGTTCTATGAATAACACATTATATAAAAATATGGTATGAGGCTGTGATTTTTTTTTCCTGATAAAAACTTCATTATTATCTCAGCGACATTACCATGACTTAGACATGCATAATATTTTTTTTTTATGTAATTTATTCTTCTATTAATTTTTAAGATTATCATTTCATGCTCTCACTGAAAAATTAAATAAAAAAATAAAAAAATTCCAACCCTATCCATATTTAGTGTAATTTTAAATGGAGTCCAATCTAAGTTATTAGTTTTTTTTTTTTTTTCAAGCTGTTCATGCACGAAAAGGACAAAAGATCATGAATCAAACTCAGAGGGAATACACTCAACTTTTTAAAATGTTAACGTACAAAAGTTAAAATTTTTGTACTAAAAAATCGCTTTAACAAGAAGAAAGTCGTCCCAAACGAAACCTTAATGTTTCCAACAAACTACCCCTTACATTAAAATATTAAAATTATCAATGTGATACTTATTATAATCAAAATTTAAAATATCATAAGTTCCCATGATACACATTACCCCTTACATTAAAATATTAATATTATCAATGTCATATTTATTATCATCAAAATCAAAAATATAATAACTTCCCATGATATGAATTAACCTATATTATTTGTATTATAATGTTAAGATGTATTTCTTCATGCACGTTGTACCATAAGATGCAAGTATACTATTGGCTATGTTCATAGGCCATATTCAAGAAATGGCACATAACAAGAGCCGCAATGTTAATATACAGCTAAAAAGAGAGCAAATTTTCGGATTGAATTAGAGAAAATTAGACGAAAAGAAAAATCCTTAGAGCACTAATGAAGATAGAAACCAAGGGAGTTAAAGACAATAGTAATTTGATTACAGATCCTGATTCCAATTCGATCAAGTTCATATCATCAAATGATTTTAAGAAAATCTTATAGCTAATAGAAAGACACTTCCCAATTATAAATTACATAATTGTAGTCAAACAGATGTCTTAATATTCAGAACGTTATACTTATAGTTTTATCATTTACAATCAGAACTTTTGGTAGAATCATCTCAGAATTATAAGATTTTTCTGAACTTTCATAAATACTGAAGATTTGTTTGGACTGGCTTCATCCATGGTTACTGCAACACAATCGACTAAACACAACACAGGTCAAGATATCCAAAACTAGCCTAATGGTCAACTCATTCCGGCATTTCATGTTTAGATTAACAAGAAATATCTACACAAATCTCAAAGTGAAATAAAGAGTGATAAAAAAGTACTTATTAAGATTTTCCACGAGGAATTCCTTAATAGTATTACTATCGAACACAGCTAACCACCCTGTAAATGTTTGGGAGCAAAAGGACCTCAATGAAATTATAAGATAAACATAGCAGAACCCAAAATTTGTCTTGCAATGCAGTGAATGAAGTTGTCAGCTTGCTTTAATAGATTGAGGTTTCGTTTGGGACGGCATTCTTTTTGCTTCTTAAAGCAGCTTTTTAGTATAAAATTTTTTAATTTTGTACTAAAAAGCTGTTTTAAGAAGCAGAAAAAAAGCCGTCCCAAACAAAGCTTGAGGGTATACATACCTGAACTAGCAATTCCAATTGCGTTCTTTGTTCTGAGTTACTGGTAGGCTCAGTCTGCCTCTTAAATTGAATCCCATGAGAAAATAAAATAAACATAATTTCACTGGTCTTTAAGCATTTGCATAAGAGCGTGCATCTCTTGGCCATCTCCTAAGAACTCAGAATATGAGATTCCCATTCTCCGTAGCAGTACTTGGGCCTCAACCTAACAAGTACCATCCTTAGATCCTCCTGAATCTGGCCACATAAGAACACTTCATCCCATAATCTGAGAAGTTCTGTCAAAACAAACAAACAATTATAAGCAGCTGGCTTCTAAAGTCACTACATAAGGTTTCCACTCTGTTCCCATTTTACATTCGTTCTTTTACATTTTTAAAAAGGGGAAAAAGGATGATTTAAGAAAGTGGTCAGAGAGAGGAGAAAAAGCAAGAAAGATTGCTGCAAATTCTTATGCCACATAGATTTGGAAAATGGATGGGATAAACCCCTATGAAACCCTTACAATCAAGAGGACCAAACAATATTCATTTAGCAGCTTCAGGATTATATGTTTGATGATAAAAATCCAAGGAATATATGTTTTGCTGTAGTACTACCAAAAATTGTAGTTAAACCACAGAATTTGAACAAAAGGAGTGCCAATGAAAACTATTGCAGAATTTCTGACCAAAGAAAATACCAGAGATTTTGCAAGACTTCTGAAATCACTGCTACATCTATTGCGGGTACTGTAATAGGAAATATTTGAGTTCGCAAGTAACCCTAAGGGAAATACTTGAGTTCGCAAGCAAACCTACCACTAATTGGTGAAAACAGCGAGAATAATGCAAAAATCTGGGTGAAATCAGCCCCAAGACAATGGATTGCAATAAGGGAATCAAAGCCAAACAAACACAAAGCAAGATATAAGCGATCCTCCATTCGAGAGGAGGATCGTTCTCTCCCAATCTCTAGACAAGGAATCTAGAGCCCAAGACGTCAAGGAACTACAAGAGAACACCAATCAGAGCATAACCCTAACCCTAGCTTCTCATGCTTTTAAATACCCTCCCTCCTAATAAAAGCTTCATAATATAAAACAAATTCAAATTGCCCTCCTCATACTTAAACCCCTCTCTCTCTCTCTCTCTCTCATTGCCGCCCAAGGAGGGGGGGGCCACTTGCTTAGGTGGTGGGCATTAAAGAAGGCGGGCTAAGAACCGGCCCCACTTGGGCCGGTTTGGGCTGAACCGTAACAATATCACCTTCCCAAAGAACCACTTTGTCCTCAACGTGGAAATTAGGAAACTGATGTTTTACCCACTTATAGGGTTCTCATGTGCATCGTAGTCCGGAAGGTTCTTCCACTTGATTAACACTTCCTCCCATCAACTCTAAGGGTTCCAGAATCACCTCTAAATCCTCAGTAAGTGTCACCGATAACTCTGTACTGGCTATATACTCTCTAATGGCCCTTCTCAACTACGATACATGGAAAACCGGATGTATAGTCGCCGTTTGTGGTAATTTCAGGCGGTATGTTACCGCTCCAATTTTCTCTAATACCTCATAAGGTCCAAAGTACCTTGGGGCAAACTTCTCATTCCTCCTATTGGCAACTGTCTTCTTCCTGTATGGTCAGATCTTCAAGAACACCCTCGCCCCCACGTCGAACTGAACGTCCTTCCTATCATCAGTTTGTTTCTTCATAATCTGTTGGGCTCGCAGCAGATGCCTCTTTAACTCTTCTAGCACTCTGTCCCTCTCATCCAAGTACGCCTCCACTGAATAAACTGGAATACTGCTACTCCCAAAGTGCACCAAGTGAGGTGGATCTCTTCCATATAACACCTTTAATGGGGTCATCTGAAAAGAAGAATGATAAGATGTGTTGTACCAGTACTCAGCCCATGATAACCATTTGGCCCATAGCTTGGGTGTCTCCGACACAAAGCATATCAAGTAAGTCTCCAAGATTTTGTTGACCACTTATGTTCCGTCTGTGGGTGGTAGGCGGTGCTCCTCTTCAGAACTGGCTCATGTAATTTGAATAACTCCCTCCAGAAATGACTGAGAAACACCTTATCTCTATATGATACTATCGCCTCTGGCACTCCATGTAATATGACAACCTCTAATGAAAGTGTAAGCCACTGTCACCACAGTGTATGGATATCAAAGGGGAATGAAATGAGCATTGCTTAATCTATCCACCACCACCAGAATCAACCATAAAATCCTCTGAATAGAGCAGCCCATCTATGAAGTCCATGGATATCTCCTCTCATACTCGTCCCGGTAAATCCAACAGTTGTAGTAGTCCTCCTGGCAACATAGCCAGGTATTTGTTCCTCTAACATTGTGTCTGAAATCTCTAATCCTCGCCTGCTAAGAAAAGAAGTCACGGGTCTTCAGGTACCTATTTATAAGAAACAGTCTCTCCCCTCCTCAAAGTGCATGATGACGGAGGCAAGATAATGATGACAAAACCTAGGGTGGCTAGCGACTGAAGGAGATCGACGGCGACAGGGGTCGGACACGCACAAGTTAGGGGCGCATGTGTGAGTCTCATGCATGAGTGGGACCGGTTAGACATGCACGAGAGATGGAGCCGAGAGGGAGAGGGAGAGAGAGAGTGTGAGAGGGGTCACGTGAGTGTATCATGAGGAGGGCGATTGGGTATGATGGTTTAAGTGAGGAGGGGATTTATTAAAGCGGATTTAGTATTTAGATTATTTAAATTTAGGCAATCTTTTTTAATTCCATCGCTTTCCTTTTATTATTATTTGTAATTAATTTTAAATATAAATTGATATGAATGTTTTTTTTTAAATTAATCGTGCCTCGATTCGTCCGTTAGATCGCCATCGTTTGTGCAAGTTAATGTCCGACTCAATCCACGCACGCAAAATTTTGATTTTAACCAATCTATAACACTGGCTAATATGGGTGTTAATCTTAAGTGTTTTAGTTGCTTCGAATGCGTTGAGGCTGCTCATTTTGTGAACGGAGGCCATTTCAGTAATTTGAAATTTTGGTTAACATGCATTAGGCGAGTTTTGTGCGACATTACGGTCTTTCTCTTTTAAAACTCATCATGCGCAGTAGACTCGACCCCAACACTAATATTGAGATCAATGTTGACTGTAACTCCTGCTTGTCAGATCGGACAAATCGCTCCCAACCGACATACCCAAACGACACATCCTCTCCTTCACCGCCTCATTCACGAAATAAAAAAATACCTCTCATTCAAACGGTTACTCACGCGGAAAGTTTTTATTCATGATCCCAATTTGAAATTCAAATAAATTGGATCTCATGAAAACTTTCCTAATCCATCCTCCCTCTTTGGAAACTCCCTAAATCCCTCCCCAACCTCTCTATGCCGCCGGCCATCATGGAGAAGCCCCAATAATTACTCTTTAATTCCCCCATTAATTCCTTTGAAATTTGAAACTAATTTCAATTGGAATTTCCCTCCAAATCCACTTGAAACCTGAAATTAATTTCAGGTTTTGGATTAAAACTCCTTTGCTCTCTTTTCTCCCTAACCTAATCTCCCCTTCCTTGAGCCGCCGCCCCTCTACCCCTGGGAAATCCCGTCCCCTCTCTCCTTCCCCTTTCTTCTTCCCGATTTTACAAAGCTCTCCCTCTCGCAACGCCACGAAATTCACCTCTACCCCTTGAAGGATTCCCCAAACCACAAGCATGCATGGAGAATCCGGAGCTTGAGTGGGGTCTTGTGTTCAACGCCGACGGAAGCATCAACATCCTACGGTCTCCGTGCTTCGACGTAGGATTTGAAGACGAAACCACCGTGGAAGAGTACTTGGAGAGAGTCGTCCCGATCCTTGCCAGCATCTACGACCGACAATTTTCAAAGTATAATTGGAGCCTCGATGGACACCTACGACATCCCTCCCCACCGGCTACTTTTCCTCCGACGAAGTTCTTCGGCGCCCTCTCTCTAGTGGTAACATCCTTCATCGCTTGGATCTTCTACCTCCGCCAAAAGCCTACCAATCCTTGAGTGAGACGGCCACGAGGTGAAATTCTCGTTGTTAAACGTTGGGTTTTTTGTTACTTGTACTTTGCATTTAATTCCCCTTGGATTTTGAATGAACGGTTTTGGTTAATCTCAAGTGCATCTCTTTGGCCTAAGCAAGTTAATATTTTCGAATTCCTAACTCAAATTTTATGTGCTAGCTTTAAATTCGTAACGAGCAATACTTTAATCGTTTCTCTTTAATTTCTCCATAACTCCTAGTAGTTTCACATCAGCAACCCTCAACCAATCTAGCTGCCGACCATAGCCCTCTCACTAGTCTTTCCACCTGCGCTACAGGATCTCTAAGCCTTGTTGTCAATCACTGTAGCAAGAACCTAAGAGGAGGCAATCAATATGTTCTAGCCATAGTGTCAATAAATTCTTTTCAGAGAACAAGGAGCCTATATGTTTTCTATTCTTTCTTAGCTGCACTATCCAAGGATTCACAGTATGAGGGCCGATGGAAGCTTAGATTTAGGAACTTATTTGCTTAAACCTTGGATAACTATTTACCAGTTAAAGTTATATGAAAATTTTAAACTAAGATTTGTTAGAAAAGAATATTGTTGAAAACTGATTTTCAAAATCAAATTACTCGAACAAAAAATCAAAAGATTTGCCAAGGAATAATGAGGGAACTAATATTCAAAACTAAACACATCATACATCAGGAATCAGCAGATCATCACATAAATCAGTGAGAAAAACAATGGAGTATGTATAATTTGGGTGTTGATAGTAACATGCCCGGCAGAACGGATTGAACTAAGACTAACGTAACTAAGAGCTGCGTTATCTTATATATTCTGCATGTATCTTCTTTGAGTCAAAATGTAAGGGCATCAGGAAAGATTTTTAAGCTTACCAGCTCGATCCATTGCAGAAAGGCACATAATTATCATGTCAAACCGAGGAACATAGGTTAAATTATCCATCATACTCACGGCAAAAACAGTGTCATCCCTGTAAAAGAGAGGGGACTATGACTTAGTATCAAGCATGGCTCCCATGCATTAAAGATTAAAATCACAATAAATACAAGAGATGAAAAAATAACTTACCTGAAGAATGTAGCTATGCATTTAATTATCTCAATCAGTAGAGGAGCAGATAGTGCATTTTTAAAAATTTTGGGTAAATCAGATGGCGGAATTGTCTGAAAGCAAAGCAATGCAAAAAAGCAAGTAAATCATTTAAAAAACAAAATCACTACCTGAAAAAAATTCTGCATAGTAACTGACCAACCTTCAACAACTGGGCCTGCTTTGCTGAGGCATTAGAAAGTGACCGCCACAAAACCTCAAACTGGTAAGCAGATGTTGGAGTACCGATAATCTTTGGAGCAGTTGCCATAACACGGGAAGCAGCCCGAGATGCAAGATCCTGCACTGATGTCCTCAATGCATGCTTGTCGTTGCCACCATTAGGTTCCTGTTTATAATAATTGCAATCAAACTAACCAAAGAAAGAAAAAAATTCTGAAAATAATTGGAATTTCAACATAGTACTTAACTCCTCACAACATGTCAATAAAATCCAATCAATAACAAATAAAAACAAGCTGATTCGAGTTTAAACCGCCCTTATTCGAGCTTAGTTCTAGTAACCTGGAACCTGATCTATCTACTCATGCTTGCTACCACGAGGAGAAGTAGGATGGGAATCTGTGGAAGCCTCACCGATTAAATCCTAGTCGTGCCTTGGCATTTTGATCCCATGGCTAGGATGGAAATCCGTGGAAGGCTCACCTATTAAATCTTAGCCATGCCTTGGCATTTGATACCATGGCTAAGATTGAAATCCGTGGGAGGCTCACCTGGATCACGCTGATCTCCTTCCATATTTAGATGGCTGATTTATGAAGGATTATATTAGAGAAATTATACATTATTCTATAATTATTAGTTTCTCTATTAAGATGTATTGTATAGAATTATAAACAGGGACAAGTTTGTGCAATAAAATTAAGCATTTTTCCTCTCCAATTCTCTAAATTTAACATGGTATCAGAGCCTGCATTACCGTTGCCAAATTTCTGATTTTTTTGTATTGTCGGCCCTCCCTTGTTGTTATCCCATCTATAACTAACACAGTCTTTATTGCTGCCCTGCTTGATACAGCCTTCATCACTGCCCTTTACCGCCGCAATATCTGAAGCAAATTCCTCCCAAAGCTTTGACCAAATGGAGGACTCTATGGTGCACCAAGAAAGAGATCTCCAAAATATGCAACATTCTTATCGTTTAAATGGGAAGAATTATTTGAGGTGATCTCAATTTGTGAAGACCTATTTGAAAGAAAAAGAAAAGATGAATCACCTCCTTGGGTTAGGACCAAAAGAATAAGATTCTAATATTTTAGCATAGGATAAAGCAAACTCCATTATTATGTTATGGTTGTGGAAATGCATCACTCCAGAAATTAGCAATACTTTCATGTTCCTATCTACTGCAAAAGGCAAATGGGATACCGCAAGGCAAACCTTCTCAAAAGCTCAAGATGTTGCACAAATCTTCAAAATTAAAGTCAAAGTAGGAAGCACAAAATAAGGAAGCAAGGCCGTGACTAAATATGTCACTCTCCTTCAAAGCTTCCGGCAAAAACTTAATCACTACAAATGCATAGAGACCAAGTATTCAGAAGATGCGGCTATCCCAAAAAGCTTTATTGAAAAAGATAGAGTGTATGACTTGCTTGCGTGATTAAATACAAAGTTTGACCAAATTAGAGTTCAAATCCTTTGCAAAGAGGAGATACCCTCACTAAATGAGACGATTTCTCTCATTCGTGCTGAAGAAAGTCGACGAGGCGTAATGCTGGAACCAAATATTGTTGAAGGTTCAATAATGGTGATAGCCAAAGAGGCGTCATGGAAAGAAAAAGGTAAGGATTTCTCAAAATATCAAGACAAAGACTCTCGTTGGTGCAACTATTGCAAGAAATCAAGACACAAATGATACATGCTGGATGTTGCATGAAAAAACCCCCAAGTAATGAGTGGAATCAAAGAAGTAGACAAAAGAGAACATCACAAGCTAACACTACAACAAGCCAGCCCAACCCAGAAACACAGTCTAATTTTAGATAGCTCAACAAAGAAGAAATTGATAAGTAAAACAACTCTGGTATCACTTAAAAAACTACCTGCGTCTTCTTCTTTTCCACTTTCAGGTAAATTTCCTATATACATTGGATTAAGTGCCTCAAAAAAACATTTGAAAGGAGTATGGATCATTGACTCAGGAGCCACAGATCACACGACATACTCTACTACCCACTTCATTAAACACACTCCTTGCCTTAGTGATAAGAAATTCATCACTATTCATGGTTCTATTATCACATTAGCAAGCCAAGGATACATATCCTTATCTCCCTCCCACACTCTAAAATATATGCTCCACGTACCTCAATTATCTATAAACTTAATCTCTATAAAAAAATTTACTAGTGATCATAATTGTCAATCCTATTTAACCTTAATTAATGCTTATTTTAGGACTAGGTATCAAGGAAGAAAATTGGACTTGCTAAGGAGAGATATGGATTGTACTACCTGGAATAGCTGAACAAATCCACTATTATCAATAATGGATATTCTATGTTATCCTTATTTAATAAAAAATCTATTATTTGACTTCATCATTTTAGACTAGGACATCCATCTTTTGATGTCTTAAAAAATATGTACCCAAAACTTTTTTACAAGTTAAAAAATGAATATTTTCATAGTGAAACTTGTGAGTTAGCCAAGCATAAACGATTTTATTTTCCAAACAAAATTGAGAGGTGTCATACCCCATTCTACCTTATTCATAGTGATATATGAATACCCTCAAATATTCCTAACATCTCAGGGGCCCGATGGTTTGTATCATTTATTGATGATTGTACTCGAGTCTCTTGGATCTTTCTCCTCAAAAATAAATCTGATGTGAGCACTATCCTTCCCATTTTTCACACCATAATCCAGAATCAATTCGGGTTTAAAATAAGAAAAAAAATTTGCAACAATGCTAAAGATTATTTTAATAAAACTCTATCCTCCTACTTTCAAAAGGAATGTATCATTCATTAGTCTTTATACATTCATACCCTATAACAAAACAAAATTGTAGAAAGAAAAAATGGCCATCTTCTAGCCTCAACCCAAGCACTTCTATTCCACCAGAATGTACCCAAATTCTACTGGGGGAAGCCCTTCATACCTCACACATATCTCATAAACCGACTACCTTCAACAACCTTATGACTAAAAATACCAATGAATATTTTATCCTATTTTTATCTTGAATTTTGAACCCATAACAAAATCACACCTAGAATCTGGGTTCAATGCCTATGTTCACATTAACAGTCCAAATAGAGAAAAATTATATCCAAGAGCACTCAAATGTATCTTTGTTGAATATTCATCCACCCAAAAAGATTATAAATGGTATCATGCATAAACCAAGAAAACTCTTGTATATGTTGACATTATTTTTTATGAACAAAAATCTTATTTCAAAAAACCTCATCTTCAGAGGGAAATTGAAACTGATGTAAGTGAGCTTTCCCCTCTTGACCTTTCAGCTCCACCTCAAACCAATCCACCTAAACCTGAAAAAGCCAGGAAAAGTGTATTCAAGGCATACAAATCCAAATTATGCTCCATAACAGATCCAATAATTTGAGCCGTCTCCTAAAATTGAGGTAAATACAAGTTCACCAAAAAAACATCCCTTTGTACCCCATAACCAACTTTGTATCCTTTCATAACTTCTCACCTTCACACAAAAATATCTTGGTTACACTAAATGATATTCATATTTCTAATGATATTTCTGAAGCCTTGTCTGATGAAAATTAGAAAAGTGCCATAAAAGATGAAATGCAGACCCTAAAATAGAACAATAGATGGGATATCACCGACCTACAGTAGGGAAAAAAACATTCAGATGCAAATAGATTTTCTCTATGAAATACAAAGTTGATGGTACACTGGAAAGGTATAAGGCAAGACTGGTGGCAAAAGGGTAGACTCAGACGTATGGGATTGACTAGCAAGAAACTTTTGAACCTATGGCCACGATGAACATTGTGAGGATCCTGCTCTCACTAAAAACTAATTATAATTGGCATCTAGAATAGTTGGATGTCAAAAATGCATTTCTACGCAAGGACTTGGATGAAAGAATATTTGTCGAGATTCCACCAGGATTCAAGGAACAATCTGGAGGTAACAAAATGTGTAGATTTAAAAAGGCTCTATATTGGCTAAAGCAGTCACCTAGAGCTTGTTTTGAAATATTCTTAAAAGTCATGCTACTTAATGGTTATTGGCAAATCCAAGGAAACAATACATTATTGTTCATGTAAAGCCCGAAATTCGTCATTTGAGTGCGTCTCACACATATCGATGCGCCGCGACGAACTTAAGTGAAATTTCGATGTCGTCAGAAATTTACGAAATAAATTTCGTTAGATTCATAAGGGACCGAATTATTCGGTCCCTTGTTGTGTTCTCTCGGCCGAACGAAGAGAAGCGGACGGGAGAGAGGGGGAGGGCGACGGGAGACGCACGAAGGCCGGCGGCCGGCTGGTTTTCCGGCGAGCTTCTTTTGGAAAAGCATCGGGGAGGCCTAGGGAAGAAGAGAGGTAAGTGTATATTGCAAGAAACTTTCCTCTTTTATGAGATTTTTCTTGGAGAAATTTTTAGGGTTTTACTTTTTGTTGGGTTTTCTTAGGAAAATGATAGGACTTGCTTAGGAACATAATAGGTGA